GATTTCTAAACATTCTTAATTTTACTTTTCCGGCTGTTATGTACACATAACAAGGAAAAAACATTGAAAACGTATCAAATTTAATCTTCAGAGTGTTTTGCAAATTGTCACGTTTTGAGACCTCTTGAATCCAAAAAAGTTCAAAAAATGGAAAAAATATTTCATGTATGTGTGTGTTGGCATCTATAAGAAACGAAATTTGGCATGATAGCTTGTATATAAGAAGCATTGATGCTATTTAATTTTGGTGGTTAAGGTTAAGGTGTGTCATGTGTCATATCTCGGGAGAGGTCGGACTTAATGAAGATGTTATTCGTTATTAACATTTACAATTTTTTTAAAAAATAAAACTCATCATTACCCTCAGAATTAAGCTTTTTGCCATTTGATAATAATTAAAAATATAAAAAGTTATAAGTAAAGGTTTCTTCTTCCAATAGTGAGACTAGTGGTATTTATCACGTCTTTCTTAACTTCAACAATGTGGAAACATTGTTGAAGTTAAGAACATGTTCATAACATGACAAAGGTCAAAATATAGCTCTTCGTTGTAAATATTTTCACAAACAAACTATAACTATAATAAAAACAGAAAAACACTACATTATATTCTGCAAAAGAAAAAACACTGTCCGAAAAAATTCAACGACATACTGAGTACGGTACGGACCAGACTAACCTGAATACTGTAAATAAACAGTCATATGCCCTTCAAGATCTGGCTCGTACTTAGATTATAAAAATATTGTTATATTGAGGGTAAAGTACTACACTTACCAACTTAAACTCTGATCTTACCTTCTTTTTAAAGTCTAGAAAATAGCTAAATTTGAGATGAAGCAATTTTGATTTATCACTTATCTAATTGGCTAAATCTCAAATCTAGAGACAAACAAAACAATCTAGATTTAGATGAAAAAAATAGATTAAAGTGACAATTTTGTCCAACACGTGGTATAGACCAAGAGGCCCAGACTTTTTGCTGTAACAGCCCTGGTTACCTATCTGAGAATATTGGGAGTCGCTAGTAATGTTCTTCGTATAAAAATATTTTAAAAATTTCAGAATTATAATGTATTTATTTACACAATTTTTCATATTTATTACATTTATTTTATTTACTCTTTGCTAGTTGAAGGTTTATTAATTAATTTGTAATGTTTGTAATGAAATTTTTAAAAATAACAAATATTTTTTATTTATTAGTTGAGCCACAATTAATCCCTTCAAGAGCCGCAAGAGGCTCGCGAGCCATAGTTGGGCATCATTAAACTTCTATGTTTGATTAAAAGTAAAATGGCGGTCGTTAGTAACCGTCGTTTCCACCAAGAGCGCTGTATCTAATGTCAAAGTCACTCTACGGGCGCGTTTGGAAATTCTAACTAGTAACACCGTGTTAGTGGTGATTGACGTCATAGGTCATAGACGGTTATTCCGGACGATTAGCGCATTTTTAAACAGGCTGGTTATTTTGTAGTGTTCAACATGGTGGAAAGTCGAGAGGAGATAATATTAATTCTGTCATTGTTCTCGAATATCGATATAGAATCATATGACGATGATGATTCGACAAGTTCATCAAAAGGTGACAATAAACTTGTAGAATTTTTTAAACAAGTATCGGAGAAAAATTTATCTTCGTTTAGTTTCTACTGTAAAATCAATATTTTCGTAGCATTTACTGACCATTTTCCATGTTGTCTTGACCCATCTGAGATTTGGGACTACACGGCTTTCTGCTCTTGGTCGCTTTGTGTCGCTGAAACAAAATATTTTATTTTCTCTAAATTTTTAAAATCAAGGCCACATTTGTCACACGATACTATGTGTCCGCTATCTTGTAATTCAATAGAACCGCTTTAACTTTTTTGTAACGGTGGTTACATCGGTAAGTACCGAAGAACAACCGGTGGCGTCATAACAGTGATTTTTAAACGTAGTTGGTTATTTATGTCACATTTTCTAAACGCCTTGGTAACTATCGACAATTACCAAGTCAAGAACCAGTTACCAAGAGACAGTTACCAAGCCAGAAAACACCAGTCACAATTTCCAAACGCTCCCAATGTAGTACGTTCTAGCTCGTTGCCAGATACCATACCAATTTCGTGTACAAATCTAGTGTCGCATATTTCGTATACATCGTAAAGTATGCTGTGCCATTGATGCCCATTATGGAATTTACAAACTCCATTCCGGGAAAAAAGTCTATAAAATGGACTCAAGCAGTTGTGGTTCTCCTGGTGTAAATTTAAAGTCACGTTGGTTCAATCCCTGTGAGCTGTTCGACATCTGATTGTGACAGTTGTAAATAGCAGTTAAATGAACGTATGTAATGGCAATGTATCTTTGTTGCATTTCTAACTGCTGAAGTCCTCATTGCCTTCCTGCTTCGTCTATGTTTGAAAGTAAGCTTAAACTTTCGACATCGTGAAGATGAGAGCGATCTAAACTGTGATCCCTGACTGTACTACAGGAAGGAGCGGATCTACATAGGAACTAATAGGACTTAAGCCCTCGGCCACCAAACGTCAAGGGTCCACAAAAGTTGAATTATTATCTTAAATTTTTAATACTTTTTCGTTAACAGTGAGCACTTATCGTATAGTAAAAAGTAGTTAATTAATATTAATAATATAATAATGATGATAATTTATAGTATTAGTTGTATTAACAAAAACTGGGCCCCATTAGACTTCAATAAGTCCTAGGCCCGAAAAACCTAGATCCGCCCCTGACTACAGGTTTGCATGAAGCATATTACGTTCAGTATCGTCGTTAGCGTAAGTTTATGCTCTTTCTTTTCTTTCTGTCTTTCAATCTGGTTCATATGGAGACTGTAGCCGTTATTCGGCCTCCTATCCGAAGGGCGCTGCCTTGCAGTTATACGAAGCGGCTAAGTTTATGCTCAACTAGAAAGCTTGGTGTCTTCTCCTGCACTTCGCCTTCTTCACTCTTAAAGTATAATAATTTCACAGTAGTGTTCCTGAGTATAAGGCATTGTCGCGGTGTTCTACCAATTACAGACTGCATGCAGACTCTTTTATCACAAAAAGAATCGGCATTAATATGTGATTTGTTAATATCGCATTTTTAATTTGCATCTTATTCTTGTGTTTGGAAAATTTAAGTATTGTTTCTGAACTATTGACGATTTAAACATATCCTTTTCTGAATGACTTTATTTGATTTATTGTAAACATGGCAGTGAAGCTAATGCACCATATGCTTAAACTCGTTCAATACTAAAAGAATATCTTTTGCATCTGAATAAATGCTAAAATAAACACCCTGTACTGTTTTTCTACACATAATAAAACTAGGAGAAAATGTTAATTGAATTCAAATTCAATTGCTGTTTCTACAGTTTTTTATCAATATTTTAATTGAAAATATTTCATTTTTTCAAACGCTGTTTTTTCATTTTAAAATTACAAAAAAAAATATTAAAAATAACGTTATAAAGCCGTTAAAACTACTTTTTTAATTCTAAAAGTTACATAATATAAGCATCTAAATTTTCAAATTATTCGTTTAATTGAAGGCAACGTTCTAAGAAAAAAATTTTAAAAATTTTCGAATTAGTTCTCGAACGGATTCTATAGGATAAAGCGAAAAAATTTAAGTCGAAAAAAATTTAGGCAAAAATGAAAGCGCTGAAGTTTTGTAGAAAAAACTTTTTAATCAGATTTGAAGAAGGATATCTTCTTCAAAGGTTTGTATCTTAGCAATTGTAACGTTTGAAGGACATTTTTCATTCTAATACATAATATTATTTATTTATCAATTCTTTTAGAAATGTGAAAAATTGTTCGAGTAAAACCGGAAATATCGTTGCCACCGAACAAATTTCTAATTCGGAACAAGTGAAGCGGGATGGTAATTTAAATTTTTTGATTAGTACTGCCATAGCGGGATTCACATCTGGAGCTTTATTCTGGAAGTATGCATCTAGTAAAGAGTTGAGTAAGTGGACTAAAAATACTTAATCTCTATTTTTTATGTAAAAATTATGCAGAGTTTTTGAAACAGTTAGAAATAGGATAAAGTATAAATGAGATAATTCGGTTGTATTTCTGAATTCTACATTCGATATGTTCCTTTTAAATGAGGATAATTTCGATTCTAACCAGAATGAACATTAAAAAATTACCAAAATTTTTCAGAAAAATCTTTAAATCATATTTAAAAATCTAATTTTTATGATTTTACTCTATATTATTANTATATATGATATATTTGTGTTTAATATTATTTCCGGATAAAAAAAATTTGAAGGCTTTCTTTTAATACTTTCAAGAAATCCTAGTAAGTCTGACATAATAATTAAATAATAGAATGACAACAGATATACATGCTTTTTTACAAAATCCAATTGCCATTTGGTTTAATCATCTCCGACATTAACAATCTTCGATTCATTTTATTCAGAATTATAATTATTTTTCATTACATCAGCTTAAGGCAGTGAACTGTTTACAAATGTAATTATCAAACGCTAGTATTTCAAACTATATTTCAAAGCAAAATAAAAAAGAAAACAGTAATAAAATTACATTATTCTGTTTTTCAATAAGAAAAAAGCTGATGTGATCTTAACTTAAACTCCACAGGATGTTGCAAATTATTATTTTAAATGAAATCGATACGAATTTTATCGGTTTAAGTATACTTAAATTCTTTTAGGAAAAAAATACGTGGGTCTAAACTATAGAAATTTATCAAATTAACTAATTAAAATAATTTAAACAGTTGGAAAAATTTCATATAACTGAAAATTTTATTTTTCAATTAACGTCAATGTAAATATATTACAGCAAAACTCAACACTTCTTAGTATTATGATCGAAACCTCGAAGCAAAAAAAAAATAATCAATTACTATATATTATTTTAAATTGAATACATTTAAGCCTAACGGCCACTTAAATATTTATTTCAATTATGCTTGCAGTTGGAAAAAGTAAAATTCTAGGATCGATCCGAAACGTTTAGTTTTACCTCAATAGCTATATGCACATGCTTGTAATGTCAGAGCGCTTTATTTTCAATCGTTTTCCATGAAAAATTTCAACCGACTTAACGAAATGGAAGCCATGTCCCAATCGCCGACTTCAAAACGTGACAGGACCGCACGGGTCCGCAGACGAAAATGACGTCAGAAGTCAGAGCATAAATTATAAAATTTCTAAAATTAGATTTATTGTATTTGTTAATATTTTTAATATATAATTATTAATATTCTTATTTCTTATATAAATAATATAACTTCTTTTACTGGATATAAGTAAACAGAAAAAATTTAACTTTTTAATTATTTTCGATTGTTATTATATAATTTCCATATTATATTAGTCTTGTATTATGATAACATTGGCTATAAATTCAATTATACAATTAAAATTTTACAAGAAAATCAAACTTCTACCAAAAGCATATATATGAATATTTTTTTCAATAAATAGAGAGTAAAAACTAAAATTCTAGCGTAGGAGTAAAACAAAACCATATCAAGTTCTTCAAAATTTTAAATGAAATGATTTATTAAATACTGAATAAATACATAGATTCAATTTTAGAATTATACTATTATAGATTCTATTCGAAATATCGTAATCAATTCTAAAACATAAAAACAAAAGTGAGTGTTGAAAGTAGAAGACAACCGATAGAGATTTATGGATCATTGCCAAAGTTTTTAACAGGCTGACTAAGTTATACTGTAAAGAAGAAAAAACAGCATTTTATTCAGAAATACAAACCCGTAGATTTTTCAGAGATATATAATATAAATATAAAATATCATAGAAAGCACGGAGTCGTAGTGATAGCGATAAAATAAATGTTCGAATTCATAATTTCGTCGTGAACATTTTACATAATTTATTATCTGTTTATATGAGCATAGATTTAAATTTATATTGAAACGCTTTCTTCAATTTCAATAAAACTAAAAATAATCATCAGGAATTTAATTCCAATTTAAAATATGCAATAATTCAATGAGAGAATATAGGCCTACATAAATGTATTAGTAAGTTATTAGAGAACGTCAATGAGTTTTCTCAATAAAAACTTCATAAATATATTCATTAATTTTTCTTTAATAAAATAGAAGCTCGAAGATTACGTTCTGTAAGACTGCCGAAAATATGGAAAGGAGAAACGCATTGAACAAAGGAATTTAAAAAATATTCAGCGCTTTAATTTTATGTTAGAAGAGCATCATTTTCCTTGGTCTTTTCGATATTTTACTACCGGAATCTTTTTGTTTAGATGACATTGTTTATCTGTATGGATAAAAGAAAAAGTAATCAAACTTCCGAGTAGCTTAAAAGTAATGCTAACATTTCTCATTGCATACGAATATAAAATTCAACGTTCATTGTTTATTGAGTGCAATTGCCTTAATTGGAGGAATTATAAGATAGTAATCTCTAGCGCAGTCTAACAGTTTTTAGTAAAATGCGTTTAAGATAAAAACATTTTTAAAAAATCATTTTATTGCTTCTTTATCCGTTGTTTCATTAATTTTGTTAATTCTTCCGAAAATTCTAGTTTCGTAAATACAAAAAGTAATTGCAAACCGAAAATATGCAAAGTGCGAAAGTAAACATTGTATTTGATAAATTAATAATCAATACACGAAATCATAACTCAGTTTGAGAGAAAAAGCATATCTTTTGAAACATTTTGATAGATTTTAATGTAATGTTTTATTAACTAAATTGAAGATTCGAGTTTATCTTTTATCGGGAGGTTTTTGTTCCTTTCCAAGTTATCACGGTATTTCTTATCTTTATAAAATCTCAAGTATGAACAGTTAAACAACAAAGTTCTTTGTAATCTATATTTTTTATATAAAATACTGTAACTTTAAAAATATAATTTTTGTCATAATTTCGATATAAAAATATTTTATAAAATTTTTTAAAATTAACGTATTCTTTATTGTGTAATCAATTGAAATATCATTGATTTTATTACAAAGTGATTACTATTTCAAAAAAAAAAAAATAATTTATAATCATATTTTTGCAAACTCGATTACTATGGTAAATACATTTCAGGGATGTGTATTTCGTTTAATTTAGCCTTTAATTACATCTAAAATACAGCATGTAGTATATTGTCGTATTGTTCAACCAACACAAATTTACTCACTACACAATTTTAAATTATAAAAAAAAACTTAGAAATTAATGTAATAGTGACTTGTCGTGGTTCCGTCAATGAGTACGGAACAAAAAACCTATTTACGCAGATACCAACGAGCTATAATATACTACATAAAGTGGCTGTAACGACGCCATGTTTAAAGAAAATTTGAATACATGTCCACCATTTTCCTTTTAGTCAAAGAGGCATGCCATTTATGGTGTGTAAAGGCAATAAGCTAGAATATTATAACTCGTCTAAAAGTGTAGAAAGGAAAAGAAGAGTTTTAACCCTTAACTGAGATGGTACGAGTTAAAATGATCCTACTTAATTTTCTTTTTAATTTTCAAAATAAATTACAAAACATTTTTTAAACACTTTACTGTATTTAAACGTTTCTAAACCAGACAAAATATTCTGTAGCAATAAGTTAAATGGATTTCTAAACATTCTTAATTTTACTTTTCCGGCTGTTATGTACACATAACAAGGAAAAAACATTGAAAACGTATCAAATTTAATCTTCAGAGTGTTTTGCAAATTGTCACGTTTTGAGACCTCTTGAATCCAAAAAAGTTCAAAAAATGGAAAAAATATTTCATGTATGTGTGTGTTGGCATCTATAAGAAACGAAATTTGGCATGATAGCTTGTATATAAGAAGCATTGATGCTATTTAATTTTGGTGGTTAAGGTTAAGGTGTGTCATGTGTCATATCTCGGGAGAGGTCGGACTTAATGAAGATGTTATTCGTTATTAACATTTACAATTTTTTTAAAAAATAAAACTCATCATTACCCTCAGAATTAAGCTTTTTGCCATTTGATAATAATTAAAAATATAAAAAGTTATAAGTAAAGGTTTCTTCTTCCAATAGTGAGACTAGTGGTATTTATCACGTCTTTCTTAACTTCAACAATGTGGAAACATTGTTGAAGTTAAGAACATGTTCATAACATGACAAAGGTCAAAATATAGCTCTTCGTTGTAAATATTTTCACAAACAAACTATAACTATAATAAAAACAGAAAAACACTATATTATATTCTGCAAAAGAAAAAACACTGTCCGAAAAAATTCAATGACATACTGAGTACGGTACGGACCAGACTAACCTGAATACTGTAAATAAACAGTCATATGCCCTTCAAGATCTGGCTCGTACTTAGATTATAAAAATATTGTTATATTGAGGGTAAAGTACTACACTTACCAACTTAAACTCTGATCTTACCTTCTTTTTAAAGTCTAGAAAATAGCTAAATTTGAGATGAAGCAATTTTGATTTATCACTTATCTAATTGGCTAAATCTCAAATCTAGAGACAAACAAAACAATCTAGATTTAGATGAAAAAAATAGATTAAAGTGACAATTTTGTCCAACACGTGGTATAGACCAAGAGGCCCAGACTTTTTGCTGTAACAGCCCTGGTTACCTATCTGAGAATATTGGGAGTCGCTAGTAATGTTCTTCGTATAAAAATATTTTAAAAATTTCAGAATTATAATGTATTTATTTACACAATTTTTCATATTTATTACATTTATTTTATTTACTCTTTGCTAGTTGAAGGTTTATTAATTAATTTGTAATGTTTGTAATGAAATTTTTAAAAATAACAAATATTTTTTATTTATTAGTTGAGCCACAATTAATCCCTTCAAGAGCCGCAAGAGGCTCGCGAGCCATAGTTGGGCATCATTAAACTTCTATGTTTGATTAAAAGTAAAATGGCGGTCGTTAGTAACCGTCGTTTCCACCAAGAGCGCTGTATCTAATGTCAAAGTCACTCTACGGGCGCGTTTGGAAATTCTAACTAGTAACACCGTGTTAGTGGTGATTGACGTCATAGGTCATAGACGGTTATTCCGGACGATTAGCGCATTTTTAAACAGGCTGGTTATTTTGTAGTGTTCAACATGGTGGAAAGTCGAGAGGAGATAATATTAATTCTGTCATTGTTCTCGAATATCGATATAGAATCATATGACGATGATGATTCGACAAGTTCATCAAAAGGTGACAATAAACTTGTAGAATTTTTTAAACAAGTATCGGAGAAAAATTTATCTTCGTTTAGTTTCTACTGTAAAATCAATATTTTCGTAGCATTTACTGACCATTTTCCATGTTGTCTTGACCCATCTGAGATTTGGGACTACACGGCTTTCTGCTCTTGGTCGCTTTGTGTCGCTGAAACAAAATATTTTATTTTCTCTAAATTTTTAAAATCAAGGCCACATTTGTCACACGATACTATGTGTCCGCTATCTTGTAATTCAATAGAACCGCTTTAACTTTTTTGTAACGGTGGTTACATCGGTAAGTACCGAAGAACAACCGGTGGCGTCATAACAGTGATTTTTAAACGTAGTTGGTTATTTATGTCACATTTTCTAAACGCCTTGGTAACTATCGACAATTACCAAGTCAAGAACCAGTTACCAAGAGACAGTTACCAAGCCAGAAAACACCAGTCACAATTTCCAAACGCTCCCAATGTAGTACGTTCTAGCTCGTTGCCAGATACCATACCAATTTCGTGTACAAATCTAGTGTCGCATATTTCGTATACATCGTAAAGTATGCTGTGCCATTGATGCCCATTATGGAATTTACAAACTCCATTCCGGGAAAAAAGTCTATAAAATGGACTCAAGCAGTTGTGGTTCTCCTGGTGTAAATTTAAAGTCACGTTGGTTCAATCCCTGTGAGCTGTTCGACATCTGATTGTGACAGTTGTAAATAGCAGTTAAATGAACGTATGTAATGGCAATGTATCTTTGTTGCATTTCTAACTGCTGAAGTCCTCATTGCCTTCCTGCTTCGTCTATGTTTGAAAGTAAGCTTAAACTTTCGACATCGTGAAGATGAGAGCGATCTAAACTGTGATCCCTGACTGTACTACAGGAAGGAGCGGATCTACATAGGAACTAATAGGACTTAAGCCCTCGGCCACCAAACGTCAAGGGTCCACAAAAGTTGAATTATTATCTTAAATTTTTAATACTTTTTCGTTAACAGTGAGCACTTATCGTATAGTAAAAAGTAGTTAATTAATATTAATAATATAATAATGATGATAATTTATAGTATTAGTTGTATTAACAAAAACTGGGCCCCATTAGACTTCAATAAGTCCTAGGCCCGAAAAACCTAGATCCGCCCCTGACTACAGGTTTGCATGAAGCATATTACGTTCAGTATCGTCGTTAGCGTAAGTTTATGCTCTTTCTTTTCTTTCTGTCTTTCAATCTGGTTCATATGGAGACTGTAGCCGTTATTCGGCCTCCTATCCGAAGGGCGCTGCCTTGCAGTTATACGAAGCGGCTAAGTTTATGCTCAACTAGAAAGCTTGGTGTCTTCTCCTGCACTTCGCCTTCTTCACTCTTAAAGTATAATAATTTCACAGTAGTGTTCCTGAGTATAAGGCATTGTCGCGGTGTTCTACCAATTACAGACTGCATGCAGACTCTTTTATCACAAAAAGAATCGGCATTAATATGTGATTTGTTAATATCGCATTTTTAATTTGCATCTTATTCTTGTGTTTGGAAAATTTAAGTATTGTTTCTGAACTATTGACGATTTAAACATATCCTTTTCTGAATGACTTTATTTGATTTATTGTAAACATGGCAGTGAAGCTAATGCACCATATGCTTAAACTCGTTCAATACTAAAAGAATATCTTTTGCATCTGAATAAATGCTAAAATAAACACCCTGTACTGTTTTTCTACACATAATAAAACTAGGAGAAAATGTTAATTGAATTCAAATTCAATTGCTGTTTCTACAGTTTTTTATCAATATTTTAATTGAAAATATTTCATTTTTTCAAACGCTGTTTTTTCATTTTAAAATTACAAAAAAAAATATTAAAAATAACGTTATAAAGCCGTTAAAACTACTTTTTTAATTCTAAAAGTTACATAATATAAGCATCTAAATTTTCAAATTATTCGTTTAATTGAAGGCAACGTTCTAAGAAAAAAATTTTAAAAATTTTCGAATTAGTTCTCGAACGGATTCTATAGGATAAAGCGAAAAAATTTAAGTCGAAAAAAATTTAGGCAAAAATGAAAGCGCTGAAGTTTTGTAGAAAAAACTTTTTAATCAGATTTGAAGAAGGATATCTTCTTCAAAGGTTTGTATCTTAGCAATTGTAACGTTTGAAGGACATTTTTCATTCTAATACATAATATTATTTATTTATCAATTCTTTTAGAAATGTGAAAAATTGTTCGAGTAAAACCGGAAATATCGTTGCCACCGAACAAATTTCTAATTCGGAACAAGTGAAGCGGGATGGTAATTTAAATTTTTTGATTAGTACTGCCATAGCGGGATTCACATCTGGAGCTTTATTCTGGAAGTATGCATCTAGTAAAGAGTTGAGTAAGTGGACTAAAAATACTTAATCTCTATTTTTTATGTAAAAATTATGCAGAGTTTTTGAAACAGTTAGAAATAGGATAAAGTATAAATGAGATAATTCGGTTGTATTTCTGAATTCTACATTCGATATGTTCCTTTTAAATGAGGATAATTTCGATTCTAACCAGAATGAACATTAAAAAATTACCAAAATTTTTCAGAAAAATCTTTAAATCATATTTAAAAATCTAATTTTTATGATTTTACTCTATATTATTATTATTATTATTATTATTTATTTATTTATTTATTTTTTCGACAAATTAATCGAATATTAATTCAATGTCGACGTTTCGAATTACAAAATAACGTTACATATATAAATTTCTAATTCTTAACATAAAATTCTCAGAATTTTTGGTGTATTTTTGTTATTCGTATGTCGTGAAATTATTTAATTAATAACTTAAATCTAACCAATGCTCATTTCAGAAAGCCAACAGTTTTTATTAAAAGAAACGTATGAGGGTCACATATCTGACTATATTCAGCTTAAAACTACTGATTAAATGTTTGAAAATGATATAAAACAGAAGAATCAAATATAATTTTTAGAAAATAAAATAATTGTAACGCTCTTTAGGAAAATTTTGATATTAATGCCTTATAGAAAGAAGAAAATAGCTAAAATTTAATAACCGCTTCAAAGTATTTCTAATTTCCTATGCATCTTGTATTACAATTATCCTTAGGTTTTATACAAAATGTTTAATGTTTTATTTATTTTATTTAACTTGTTCTATTGTATTAGTTTTTAATTTTCAAAAACTTTATTCTATTTATTCTAAATTTGAATTTCGTTCAAATATATATAAAAAACTGTTCTACAAATCTGTTCTACATTATTCTAAATTGTTAAATCGATGATTTCAAACTGAGGATGAACAGATATTTGACCGGAAACACTTTTGTTGAAATTGAGAAACCCAAAAAACTTTTATTAAATTAAACAATAAAAAGTTTTTGGCTTTCTCAAATAAGCAGAGTTTTATTTATATATAACAATGGTATCCCGTGGCGCAGCCAGGGCAGTGTGATGGAGCAATTGCTAAGTTAATTTATGTTCGATTGATCTAGTCTGGGTTATGCATTATGTCAAATTTCATTCCGTGGCATCATCTTCACGACGATCGGCGTAAAGTAGCTATTTATTTTTGCTGTCAACTGTACTCGACTCTCATCCAAAACTATCAGCATATTATATGCTTCTTCAGCGAATAAAACATGGCTACATAAATCAGTATGGCACTCAGAGGCAGAACAATTTCGTAGTTCAAAATTCTAATGCAGCCCTCCTTCTCCCAACTCTACCCCGCTTCAAAGAACGAAATTTGCATCATCCCACCCAAAAAATCTCAAGTCCTTGACTGGAAAAGTCAACTGACCGACTTATGATCAAAACAACTATTTTGTTCGTAGGTCGCAGGCATGTTTTGGTTCGACAGAACCATTTTGCGTCATTGTAGTTTTGCCACTGATGACACCTTATGATACTGATGTAAATTTATATAAAATGTAAATGTGAACACAAGCGTAATGTTAACATTTGCTGACGCTAAATATTCAGCCAGCTGAAAAAAATAGTTTGACGAAACTGTTTGTAATAATATTTCGCCAAAAATACTTTATTGCACTTTCAAAGCGGTTAAGGTGATAGCTTACCGCTCTGGTGACTTGGGATCTAATCCGGATGGATCGAAAAACTCCAGAAATTTTTCGAAGGGTGATTTGTCCGGATATGTCGGGTTCATCCCTCACTACTTGGCTTGTCATTGAGGAGTTGGTCAAACCTATAATGGGCTTTCTAAAAAAGATTCCTTTGGTGCCTTTAGGACAAACAGTTTAAAAAAATGATTTTATAGTAAATGGAGCATTTTCAAAAATATTATCTTAGTTTTTAGTTTAATCCGAATCTAAAGTAAAAACTATGTTTCATTAAAAAATGGACTTCTGGCTCAAATTGAAAATATTATCATTGAATAAAGCTTACTCGATTCATTTTTATAAAAATTTTTAAGACTTGATGAAACTCACTATCCTCCATTTTTAAAAGTGTATATGGTTGGTCTGTGACACCCTGTAGATTAGAATCGGTTGCTATAAATCAAATTCAATAACGTATATAGTGCATGTCTTTGTTTTTGCTTTGCAGTTTTATTCAAATATTCGATATACTTCTTAAATTTTAAGTTGCACTTCCTTGCTAAATTTCTGGCTGTGCTGCCAATGGTACCATGTTTTGTGATCTTTTAATATTAACTAATTTATTTTTTGACTCTATAGTCTCAAATCCGTTACCAGTGCTTTGTGCCAATTCTCAATGCAAAAAGTTTGGCGAAGTTATTCCGTGTTTGCCAAATTATTCGGCAAAAACCGTCGCAGAACATAACACAAAGGAAAAATGCATCTGGGTGACGTACAAAGCGGGTGTATATGATATCACCAAGTACATCTGCGAACATCCGGGAGATAAAATAAAATTTGCAGCGGGTGGCGCTCTCGAACCTTTTTGGGAATTATATGAATTTCACAAATGCAATGAGGTATGATTATATTAAAATAAATATATTACAATATATTTTTAACTAAATTTGCATAATACTAGATCATGGAGCAATTAGAGAAGTATAGAATTGGTAATCTTTGCATAGAAGATAGGAGATTCAGCAAAGAAATGTATGGAAATGAACCAAATAGGCATCCCTGTTTAAAAGTTACCTGCAATCAACCATTCAGTGCAGAAACTCCAACGGAATTACTTGCTGAAAAATTTGTCACCCCAAAGTAAGATAAAATGTTTTTGTAGTTTCATAAATATTATTTTGCAATATAAATAAGTTGCAGATGGATTTCTTAACTTAAGAAATCCATCTGCATTTTGAATAATAGCAATATAATACATTTTTTGATATACTTTATATTTCTGCAGTGCACTTTTCTATGTCCGTAATCATTTTCCGGTGCCACGGATAAACGGACGCGACTACAAACTGACTATACAATTGATGAATGGCAAGACGACATGCTATTCTTTGAAAGATCTTATGTGCAAATTTCCGAAACACACTATAACTGCAACATTACAGAATGCAGGCAACCGAAGATCAGAATTTAACAAAGTACAATTTATTATTTTTCTTTTTACTAAAACTAACAAAAATTAATAATATTAAAATCATTTTAAAGGTCAAAGAAGTATCAGGATTGAAGTGGTGTTCGGGAGCTATAGGTACAGCAACATGGAGTGGTGCCAGATTGGTAGATGTTTTAAAATGTGCTGGAGTGGATACGAACGATGCAAATGTGAAACATGTCCATTTCGAAGGATTAGATAAGGACTGCAAAACCAATACCAATTATTCAATATCTATTCCAGCACACAAAGTATGTACTACTATATTCGTTATATAAACAAGCATTATTTTGATTTATTGTTATAATCTTTAGGCACTAGATCCCAGTGGTGACGTGATAATAGCTTATGAGATGAACGGATGCCCTCTTCTTCCCGATCATGGATTTCCGGTTCGAGTGGTAGTGCCAGGTTATGCTGGTACTCGTAGTGTGAAATGGTTAGGGAAAATAACAATGGCAACAGAAGAAAGCAAAAGTCAATGGCAGCTTAAAGACTACAAGAGCTTTTCACCAAATGTGGATGCCAGTAACGTTGACTGGTGCAAATCGATTGCCATCCAAGAAACACCTGTAGTTTCGGCCATCTGCGAACCAGTAAACCATAGTAAAGTGAAAGTATGCGATGACAAAGTGAAAGTCAAGGGTTATGCTTGTAGCGGAGGAGGAAGGAAGATTATCAGGGTAGACGTTTCCGCCGATGAAGGAAAAACGTGGAAAACTGCCACTTTGAAACAAGATGACGCTCCTTCACATCGAGCTTGGGCATGGACTCTGTGGGAGGTAGGTAATAATTATATCTAATGCAAATTTTTATATGAAACATAAACTTTAATTATTTCAGGTGGAAGTCCCTGTGAAGAAGAAGAATTGCTCCATAGGAATCATTTGCAAAGCAGTGGACACATCATACAACGTGCAACCTGAAACATTTCCACCCATTTGGAACCTGCGTGGTTTCCTGGGAACTGCATGGCACCGAATTACTGTCAATTTACAATAATTTTTTTTTATTAATGAGATTCAAAATTTGAACATAGTAAAAACAGTTTTGGCTATATTAATTTTATGATTCCAAATTAAACTAAACTTTTTACTCTTGTAACAAATCTTCGAATAAAAGTTTAATAAAAATATATAATTATTTAATTTAAATATATTAACTACCATACACAAGTTGATTTATTTCATTGTAAAATTATTACTCTATGTATAGAATTCATAAAAATTCATCTTTGACTCTCCGGAGAATCAACTGGTCTACTTAGTTTTGATAGGTTATTTTTTTAATGTGAAAAATATTTGCGCATTAATGATCGGCTAAAATTTTTTCCATAGCAGACTGGATTGGCATGCAATATGGTTATCTTATTCTTCTCCTATTTCATATGAAAGTTGTATTCTTTACTTTGCCCTATTTTTTTTAAACTCTTTCTGCCCTATGGACACTAAGAGGGCCTCTTTTTGCAAGTCCATTATGGGTTCGGCCAGGCCCACAATGAGGCTGCCGGGTGGTGAGGGACGGGGCCCGACATATCCGAACGGACCACCCCCGAAAAATTCCTGGGATTTTTCGACCCGTTCTGATTCGAACCCGGGTCCCCAGAGCGGTAGGCTGCCATCCGGCCGCTACTTTGCCCTATGCGATATGATAGGTCAACATGAAGAGGGTTAAGGCACTGATCTATGTGGATAGACAGGACGACACCGGATGATTGAAACAATAAACGCACACGTCTTCCACCTCGAAGGTCTTAGATTTGATCTGGACTGAAAACTCAGAAACTTTTACGAGTGATCTTTGACTCAGATATTGGGTCCAGTCCCGATATCTGAGTCAAAGATCATTGCGACCGCCGCCGCCTTCATTGCGAACAGACCGAACCTATGATGAGCATTAAAGTAATCTTAATGCTTGCAGGCGAAAAATAAAAAATAAACTCCTTTTATGAATCAGGCAGTGTATCCCTTGATAAATTATGGGGATCAAGATTAAATTTGGGCCTAGATTACACATTGCAATAGGATGTCAATTTACCATGCAGCTATAAGATTTTGTTATTATTAAGCATTTCATTAATCATAGTCAAAAGCATAATACATCAAGACCGGATGGCCGAGCGGTTAAGGAGGCAGCTAGGGTTTCTTATTTCCCGGTCTTTTGCTTGTCCCGGGATTCCGGGATAAAAGTGAACTGTTTTCCGGAATATCCCGAGATAGAATTAATTATTTTTAAGATATAGAAAATATTTTGAAATCAAATGATGTAATTATTTTTCGTTTTTCAAAGTAATTTAATACGTTCTGCAACCTCCAAAATCATATTAATAATGCTGTGTAAGATTTTATATACAGTATTAAAAATTGCCTTTGGATTACGTAGAAATTTTCACAAATAGAAAAAATTATTAAAGTTTGCTGGAAACTGCATACAGCAATAACAAGAAAAAAAAAAAAAAAACTTAGATCAAACTTCTAAGTTAGAAGGTAATTTTCGTTTTTTAAATAAAACATAATTCAAAATATTATTGTAAATTTTTTCAATAAGATTTTAAAAGCAAAGATGGTCCATACTACGATAACTCAATTTGATTCTTATTTTAGTAATGAAAAGTCCTGCTACCTAGAATGCCCTTTCCGATTTAATTGATCTGAGTGGAATTCTGAATTCTCTTAAATGCATTAAACTCATGTTAGGTGTTTTTTTTCGCCTGTAGCCTGAAAGATTTCGAGTTCGTTTTCGAGATTATAGTTCTTCTTTTGCTCTCTAGTATTCTTGATTTGTCTACCTCGGCTGCTTTAATAGAAACACCAGGCTTATAACCCAATAATTCGGCAGTTTGTTTGTCTTTAATAATCAGGTTTATGAAGAAGAACTTCATACGTGTAGACTTCATACTCGTTTGTATCCTTGCCCAATTTGCACAACCTGGCGTTACGCAGTTATTGAAGCTACTTGGCATGGTTAAAAGTTAAGACAGCATAAGCGCAATTATTCCAGATATTACAGGTTCTGACAAGTAAAGAATTTTCAGTTTTGCCACATATATGCCACATATTGATTATTGACCATTTGTGACATGCTATAACGAGCAAAAATTAAAAAAACTAATAAGTAAGTTTAAAATTAATAGATAAATACAAATGTATTCTGACCGTTTATGAGTTACCTATACTTTCTATTTGCAACATTTCCTCAACTTTAGCACAAAATAACACAAAAAAAAGAAAAAAATGAATTTTTAAGAAATTTGCGGGATTTCCCGGGTTGAGTAGACTTTCCCGAGTTAAAAAAACAACCGGAATCCTGGGATCCCGTTTGAGAAACCTTAATGGCAGTCTACCGCTCTGGGGACCCGGGATCGAATCCGGACAGATCGAAAAATCCCCAGGAATTTTTCGAGGTGTGGTCCGTCCGGATATGTCGGCCCCGACCCTCACCAACCGGCCGCCCCATTGGCCCATTGTGGGTCTGGCCGAACCCGTAATGGGATTGCAAAAAAAAGGGTCCTCTTAGTGTCCATAGGGCGGAAAGAGTTTGAAAAAAAGCATAATACATCAAATCTAATACATTATGTAATTAGTGATAGAAATGGTTTTATTTAGATTATTCATAGTATATAATAGATTACACAAGACAACTTATGAAGTCGAATATCATTTTGAAAACAAAAATGAATATTTACGCTACATATATCGCGTCATCGACATCATTATTTAAAATTTTGTACCATCATCTTAATTGTCTAATTTACATTGATTATCATTATTAATATTATACGTAAAAATAAATTTTAAAATGCAATGAAAGTTATTTAATTTAATTTTAAAATTACAAATTGAAAATTCAAATAATAAAAAAACATGTGTGTCCATTGAGCTGTTGACACGTGTAATATTATTGATAATCAATTTCATTCAAACCCACGATCTTTATAATCTGGATAAATGAAATCTAGTCTATATATTAAACACTAAGTTAATAAAACGGCTTATTTGTCCACAGCAAAACAAATTCTTTGTTTACCAGCCGTGAATGAAGGTGAGCATAGATTCATCTGCTTGTTGCATATGATGAACTAGTTTTATGCCTAATCGATTAAATATTTATTTATAAAATTATAAACTAAACTTTTAAGAAATTAAAATAAGTAAAAATTTTATCATAATAAATAGTATTTTTTAGGCTTTATTGCTAACATTTTTTTTTTTTTGGAAAAAGCGGGGAAACATTATGTTTGTTATTTTTTATACGTTTTTAATTTAAACAAATCGTTTATGATTTCTTTAAATTACACGTTGCTGAATAATTTCGTAAAATATTCTCAAATTCTATATTAATTAAATACCATTACGTTATTTTAGTTGTGTTGAAAAAATATATATTATTGAATAATACAATATTGTTCACCAGTATTATAGGAATTATTAATACAATCACATTATGAAATTCAAATAACTTAACTGAGAACTGACAGTGGTTGTATGATTTGTACGATTTGTACAATCACTCATTGTGTATGATTGTAATTAGGCTTATAGAGAAATATGAATAAAAAAATAGGTATAGATGACATTTTTAGTCATTTGATAAGTAATTTATATCTTATGAGGTTTACTTGCTGCAAGTCACAAATATAAACAATTGCTTTTCAAATCAGAGTATTCATATTCGATTGGGTGTAATTTGCTTTGATATCATGACAATTTAATTCTGATAATTTCCACAATTTTATATATTTAAACTAATTTTTAAGTTATTATCTAAAAAGTAAAATATGATAAAAAATGCTTATTCTATGATATTTTAAATTTAAAAACATATCTGTACATAGACTACATATATTCATATTCATGATAGATTTATGTTTAAAATTAATTCAAATATATTGTTTTTATAAATAATGATATGCTATCATTGTTTAAAAAGTTTTTTTATTGAAATCAAATACAAAAGATTATTATATAAATTGAATAGTAATAAACATTTTATCTTTTATCTAGAAGCAAGCATTATTTCATTTAAAGCTATTTTTCCTACAAAGATGCATAGGTGCATACATACATAATGCTTTCTCACTAAACTTTATTCATTGTTGATGATATTCAATAAAAACAATTAAACTTTTGGGAAATAATAAATATAGGCATATAATTAATTAATATAAAGTTTAGATGGCCAGGGAAGTTAAGTTGTCAGTCTGGCCAGGGAAGTTAAGTTGTCAGTCTATTGCTCTGGAAATCTAGGATCAAATCAACCCAAGAAATTTTTTGAGAGTAGTCTGACATGGATATGTTAGGTCCTGTCCCTCACTTGGCCACCCCCATTGTGGATTCCCTTGATATCTACATTGTGATGGGATAATAAATTTAAAAAGTCCGTTTAGTGCCCTCAGGATAGAGTCAGAAATGGAAAAAATTAAATGGAAAATATATAAAATTCTTCAAACTCAAACTGGACAATAATTGTGAACATTTCATTTACCTTATATCAGATCAAGTTTTTAATGCTTGTGTTCCATGGTATGTTAGCATTCCATTTTAGAATTCAGTTCTTCTCAGGAAGGCCTTCAGTGTAGGCCAAAAACCTTTGAACTGATTTGTTGTTACCCTGTTGGATTAGATGTAAGGTTAGTGAAATGTTCATAAAAAACAGAATTAATGAGCAAGAATTTTAATAAACCATTAAATTAGTAAATGTAGATAATCAACTAGAACGTGTGATTAGAACATGTGTAATCCTTGTATAACTCAGGAATTAGATTCATGTAAAACTTGCAAAACAATGATATATAAAACTAAGAACCAGTATGAAAAGCAGATTACATTCTAAAAGCTAATAAAAATACATAATTTTGTATTTATAATTATTAAAAACTTTTTTGTTATTAAAAGTACTAAAAATTGAGCAAAAATGTAACAAACTGTGATGCATATATGTCAGAATAATATGCATTCAGTTAATTTTTTTCTTCTTTATTGTTGCCGAGCATAATGTTTTTTGTTTTTTTTTTTTATTGTAGAATATCTTCATCTTCTGAACTTAACTATTTGGTTACTGTAAATCTTCTGCTCTCTTTAAAAAAAATCAGTAATCGGGGTTTGTTTGTTTTTCTTGATAGATATTTGTAAATTATACATACGATCTTATGAGTTTTGTGCTCCTTTCAGTCAAAAGATTAATTTTTTTGAATGCAGATCCTAATTGTTTGGCATAGTTTAGGCTTTTCATTATGCTTTTGGGTCAATAAAGAGGATTCATAAAAAAAATAGAAATATTGAATTGAAAATTATATTCATCATAATAAGCAGGATATTTTCTTCACAAAAGCTTAAAAATATCTTATTTTCCCAATTTTCTGTGTTAGAGCCAGACCGTGTTGAAGTACAAGTTATATGAGAGTTGCCTGTGTATATTAAAATTAATGTAATTTTAAAGTAATAATGATATATACCTATAGAAATCTTAAGCCTATTACTCTTTGGAATTGAGGATAATTATATCATTTATTCGTGGGATTTTATAAAAGTAGTTTAAAGTTATTATAAGCCTTTTTTTTTATTTTGATAAATTTTTTAAAATTATGACAATTTCAATTTTAATTGAATATTTATTAAAATTTTGTTTTATGTCTAAATTGTGCTATTTTAGATAATCAACAAACAGTATTAATATATTAACTAATAAAATTTGTACTACATAATTTTTTGGAAATCAAGCAACTGAAATCGAATTAAAATTTTCAATTGTTTTACAAGTTGAATACATTGCTAATAAAAAGAAAGTTAATAGTTACTAATAAAGATAAAATTATCATAAATCATTCTAAAATCAACACACAGCTGTTTTGCTGAGTTTTAATTGTTTAAAGACAGTATATTATGATTAAACAAGTATAGTTTCATTGTGTGGGTAAACTTGTGGCTAGTTTTTTCTTTTTTGAATGATTTCCTTATATGTAAAATTTTAATAAGAATTTTCTTTATTAATTTATGACTTTATTATTTTTGTTTTAATTAAAATAAATATTAAACTTTCTTAAAACTTACTTTAAATATTTATTTTAATACATATCAAATAGTTTTTATTCAATATTTGTAATCTTCAATTAAATTTTAAGAAAGTAGTAATATTTTTAAAAATTATATAGAATTGAATTAAAATTTCTATTATTTATTTTTAATTTATGTTGATTTTATTTCTGATATATTAAATGTTTTATTTGTTTATTTTCAGATAATTGAAAAACATTTATGATATTTTTTCTATGACAATCAAGGATCTTCATAGAAAGAAGAATTATATGAAAGGAATGTATATAAATCTTTTACTATTTATATTTTTGATCAGTAAAATAGTTGTTGTTAATTCATCTGAAGATTATTATGAGATTTTAGGAATTAGAAAAGATGCGGATAATAGAGAGATACGCCGTGCCTTTAAAAAGCTAGCAATTACTTTACATCCTGATAAAAATCAGGTATGAATGATTAGTTTTTCTAATTATAAATACAGTATATCTAAATATGAATTTTATATAAATTTTTATGTGGTATAGACTAAGTTATGCTGAATATAGATTAGGATGATAAGCTGAATATGTAAAACTTTTTACGTAACTATATGACATGTTTATATTGGCATTACTATTGGAACTGTCAGTGAAACTTTTACAGAACAAATAGAATGATAGATTCATATGTGATGACAAGTTTTCATCTTGAAATATAAATAATTTATCATTATAACTTAAGTTTAATCTTCCTGTTGATTTACGAATTGCTTCAATTGTTTTAATATGATCCTGAATGGTTTATAAAATTTTTGTCTACAGATTTCATATGTAATACTCAAATGTTCCAATTGTTAGATAATAATTGCAGACAGTTTGATGACCGAGCAGTTTAGGTAGCAGCCTACCACTCTGGAAGATCCACAATTGAATTTGGATGTGTCAAAAAAATCCCAGGAATTATTTAGGAGTGGTCCATTTAGATACATCACACCCCATTCCTCCCCAAGCAGCCACCTCATTGTGGGCCTGGCTGAACCCATAATGGGCTTGCTAAAAAGAGACACTCTTAGTGTCCATAAGGTGGAAAGAGTTTTAAAAAAATAATCCAGCAATGAATTGCATAACTTTCCTGGCTATTGAGATTTTATTTAGAAAATAACTTATAATTTTAATTACAATATAACTTAATAAAATTATATGATGCCATCTGTTATGAGATTTTGTTATAAAAATCTTTATATTTTTAATTACTATAAAATGGCAAAAAGCTTAATTTTGAGGGTAGGGATTAATTTTATAAAAAAAAAGTGTAAATATTAATCATGAGTAAAATTGTCAGTAAGTCTGACTCTACTGGAGATACACATGATCTCCTTTATCTCCCCCCTTGACCTTTAACCACCAAAATTTAATAGCATCAATGCCCCTCATATAAAAGCCATCATGCCAAATTTTGTTACTTAATCTTTACCCCATCCTCAGGTATTAAGCAAAATAGATGCCAACAGATGCACACATGCACATGCATGCATACATATCCATGGAATTTATTTATTTATTTTTTAATTCAGGATGCCTCAAAAGATGGAGATTTGCAAAAAAAAAACTCAGAGTGTCAAATTTGAATACTTTTCCTTGTTATGTATATATAACAGCCAGGAAAGTAATAGTTAATAATAGTAACTGCCAATACATCATTGTTATTGTGCAAAATTTTAATTAAAATATCTAACTTATTTTCATCTTTGTAAATTTTTTTAGGTATTTAATAAAGTGTTTTTATTGTTACTTGAATTAGTTAGAAATAATCTTACATTGTACAAAATAAATGATTTTAAATTATTAATAGGGCAACATCAACAAATTTATTATTTTTATTTATTTTTATTTTTATTAAATTTATTATTTACAGAAATTTATTATTATTTTTAAGTCTTCTGAGAGGATTCAAATGCTTCTAAAACATTATATGAAACTGATTAGGCTTCTTTCTAGCTGATTTTATTAATAATTTATCTTGTAAGAAGTTATAATCTTTTAAAATTTAAATTAATGAGTTCATTTTAAAATACTAGTATTTATATTAAATTTTATTTAGGATGACCCTGAAGCTCATGAAAAATTTTTGAAAATAAATAAAGCATATGAAGTTTTAAAAGATGAAGAAATGAGAAAAAAATATGATCTTTATGGTGAAGAGGGATTAGATGATTCACATTCATCTAAATGGAGAGGAAACTTTCATAGTTGGAAATATTATTCTGAAAGTTTTGGTGAGTAATTTGTAATGATAATGAAATTTAATATAATATTTTCTATATATGTATTTGAATACTACAGTAGATCCCCCTATAAAACCGTTTCCTATAGTTATGATTCCTATAAAAATTGTGGCATTATCCGTAAACAACGGTAAAAATAACTCCTATAATACGTAAAACGTCATCGGGCAGCCGAACTACTTACCCGCCGTCCGTAGCGCCACGCTACGGACGTTTAGGCGGATAAATTGAGTTTAGTATCGTCTGTTCATATAATTATATATAAATTAGGTACTGTACATATAATTATATATTAATTATATATAAATTAGGTACTGTATATATAATTATATATTAACTTAATTTATTGTAACTTTATTATAATTAAATATATATTTTTCGCCGTCTAGCGTCACGCTACGGCGAGTTAGGCGACCTATCGTCTGTCCAGTACTGTAATTTTATACATTTCTTGTGAAAGAAACATTTCTTATTTAACGGCCATAAAAATTATTTATATTAAGGATGTCTCCAAAGGTCAACGAAGTTTTCGCAGAAAAATAATATCAGAAATCGCGGCCGCGGTTTGATGCGCTGTTCCGCGACGAAACCAAGCTTTAGCAACGGGCGTAGTCGAACGGTACACACTCGGTAAGCAATCCTACAATTTTTTGTTTATAACGTAGTTTATACGGATTATTTTCAAAAAAATATACGTATTTTGGAAATGTTGAGTCGAATTACTCTAGAATCGATTAATTTTATGAAAGAAAACCTTTCAAACAGCCGTAGTCCGTAAACTATGATTCCTACAAAATTGATTCATAAAGAACGGAACGTATCTACCGTCTTATAGGGGGATCTACTGTATTTGTATTCAAATACATATATAGAAAATATTATATTAAATTTACTTTGTATAGTAAATATTATATTATATGTACGTACTTTGTATAGTAAATACTATTTGTATTTATTATACAAAGTATAAGAAATATTTTATAAATTAAAGCAAACTTCAATCCATTTCTAAATTATAATAGTTCAAACAATTTTAAAGAAATTATAATTGAAAATGTAAAATCATCATTGAAAAAGAAGAAATGTAAAATGAAATTTAAATATAAATTATGCGTAATAATAAAAAACAGATGTTTTCAATAATAGTAATGATTCTCAGATTTTATTATAGTATTATTATATAATAAAATCTAGAAATCATTTTATTATTATTCAAACATCTGTTTTATTTTATTATGCATAATTTATGCAGTCAATCCCCCTATAACATGGTAGATATGTTCCGTTCTTTATGAATCTATTTTGTATGAGTCCTTGCCAGTCACAGCCCAGCACATATGCACTTTACGGACTACGGCTATTTGAAAGGTTTTCTTCCATAAAATTAATTGATTCCTAGACTTAACGACTCAACATTTCCAAAATACATATAAGTTTTTGGGAATAATCTGTATAAACTGTGCTATAAACAAAAAAATTGTAGGATTACTTACCGAGTGTGCACTGTTTGACATTGCCATTGCTTAAGCTTGTTTTCGTCACGGAGCAGCTCACCAGACGGCAGCTGCAATTTCTGATAAGTTATTTTTCTGCAAAAACTTTGTTGAACTTTGGAGACATCATTAAATTAATATAAATAATTTTTATGGCTGTTGAATAAGAAATGTTTCTTTCACAAGAAATGTATAAAATTAGTACTGTATTAGACTTACAGTACCTAATTTACATACTGTACAGATGATAGTAAACTCAACTTACTCGCCTAAACTCTCCATAGTGTGGCACTGGACGGCGGAAAGTATATATATAATTATAATAAAGTTACAATAAATTAAGTTAATATCTAAATATATAAAATTGCTTGTCCTGACTGACTGACTCACTGACTGACTGACTGACTGACTCATCATCGCCCAGAGCAAACCGCTTAACCTAGAGAGGTGAAATTTGGTAGACAGTTAGGGTACATCATGGAAATGCACACTAAGAAGGGATTTTTCGAAATTCCCCCGCGGGGGAAGAGGTAGAGCATTAAGGCTTAATCGGAAAAACGGCTTCTACTGTACTATTTTAGATGCGATTTTTTGTTTTCAGCTACGTTTAGTCTTCATTGAATACTTAGGTGTATTAAATTGATAACATTTCAGACATTTTGATTTTAAAAATGTTCGATCCGTTTTAAATTCGAATTTGTTATTGCATATTGGTTCGATTATAGAACGATTGTAAACGTTCCAGAAACTTGATCAAATTGAAGATAGTTTGTTTGATTCTGGGCAATTCTCTTCTGCGGTAGGTGTTATATGACGATTACTATGGTTATTGAAATATTGAATGTAAATGGGTTTGCTTGCAAAACCTCCGCGGACGAAGTTGCGGGTAACAGCTAATATAATTATATATACAGTACCTAATTTATATATAATTAATATATAATTATATGTACAGTACCTAATTTATATATAATACTGTACAGACGATAGTAAACTCAATTTACCCGCCTAAACTCTCCGTAGCGTGGTGCTGGACGGTGGAAATTAGTTCGGCTGCCTGATGACGTTTTACCGAATTATAGGAATTTTTTTATCATGTTTGTACGGATACCGTCACAATTTTTTCGCCGTCATATAGGAATTCGAACTATAAGAACCCGTGTTATAGGGGGGTCGACTGTATTTGAATTTCATTTATATTTTTTTCTTATTCAATGATGATTTTACATTTTCAATTATAATTTCTTTAAAATTGTTTGAAGTAGTATAATATAGAAATAGACATAAATTTCACTTAATAATGATTTATTATTGTTTTATTATTGTGTATTTAAAGGTTACTGTCTGCCAGTTATAACTTTATGTAATCTTGATGTTTCTTATTCTTTGTGGAAAAATTCCCATAGTGTTAGAATTCGTATGTATCGCAGATTAACTATATTAGTTAAGCCATGGCCATCTTCTTTACAATGAAGTGTTAGTCTTTCTATGGATGATTTGATTTTGGGTGAAATTTTTTAAACTTAGTAAGTGTTATTTTTGTTTTTCTTTGGAGTTGCTTGAGATCTGTGAGTGTCCAGTGTATCTCAAAAAGATTAAGTGAGTACAGGGATAACATATGTATTAATAGCTTTAATAGTAGGTTTTGCATTTAGGTGTGTTTTTAGTACAGTACTGCATATTCTGGTATCCAAGTATTAATCTTTGTTTTAGTTGTACATGTTATGTAAGTTTTGCCTGTTAGAATTCTAAATATTTGTAAAACTTGCCCTCTTTCATAGATTTGGTAATATCTCTACTTCTGAGTACAGTCTCCTTTCTTCAGAATTCCTTTTTCAATGTGAAGTGTTTTGCATTTGTCTAGACCAGGGTTCCTTAACCTATGGCATGCGGGATGATTTTCAGTGGCACTCTGATTAAATAGAAATGTAGTTTGATGATTAATTTTGATGATACTGTATATAACAAAATTGGTAGAATCATATAAGCACCTGGAATAACACTATAACTTAGGTTCGGCACAACACTGCTCAAAGGTTGCTGGCCCCTGGTTTAGACCAGACTCCATTTGTATATTATTTAAGTATGTGCGTAAGAGATTATGAAGCTGTTTCTGTGTGGATGAGTAAAGTTTGATAGTGTCCATGTACATAATTATTAGCTAGTTCCTGGTGCAAGGATGTGAATTTTTTGTATGAGAAATTGTGAATGTTGACACCAGGTGTCGTCTAATTGTATGCTTTCTGCATTGTGCAATGGATGTCTCATGTCTTTATTTCAACACAATGCATGATGTGTCCTGCATGTCTTCACTTTCCTCTTTGATCCAGTCTGCTTCAGTATTATGCATGACAACAGTAGATCAAAGAGAAAACAAGTTATTTGTGAGTTGGCATGCCATTCTGTTGGGAATCAGTACTAGATTTGGTATTAATATGCTTCTAGGAGAGTTTTTCATTGTTTGTGAATAATTTATTTTTTTGTTTCTGTACAGAACGAATTGTATTGTGTGTGTTTTAATTTTTTTAAAATTTTTTTTAGTTTCATTAATTTAAGTGTTGTTTTTGTTATTAGCATATTGTGTCATCCTGCCTAGCTGCTGTCTAATATTGTTTATTTGTGTTCCTAGTTTTCTTTACCAGACAGGCTTCTGAAGGATTTTTGATTTTATGTGCTTCTGTCTGTGGATGTAGTTTTAGTCTATGGTAGGTTACTGCTGTGATTGCACCAGCATAGACTAGTGTGTGAATGTTTGAGAGTGTAGAAATAGAATTAGTGCAGTCTGGTAATATGTAAGTGTTCACATAGTATAGAGTTTTCTCTACTAGTTTAGAAGTGTTGGTTTTGGGAATGCATAGCCATTGTGCAGGGTCAGTGCCTGTAAATTTACTGAGTGCTTTCTGGAAAAGGGAGAGAGAGATTCAAGTTTAATTCATACTCTCTCTATTTCAGGCAGTGAAGAAGTGTTGCTATTGTTAGCATCAGTGAAAATAGTGATGGTAGGAACAGCATTGTCAATGCATGTATCTTGATGAAGGATTATGTGTTAATGTTGAGAGTATTTTTTTGTTGGTGTAATTGTGTTCTGCAATTTATTGTTTGATATGTTCTAGTGTTATTAGTGGTTTAAGATTATGTATAATTGTTTTTTTTTTATCAACAACTTTTTGTACAGTGACTGAGATGAGGATATTGTTGTGAAAACAAGTGATGTATGTGTTGTCTTTATGCTGTCATATCTGTTTCAAGTTTTGTGATGGTGTAGTAAGTATGGATGATAATCTCTTTCATTTATACTGTCCACTTTATCTGTTGGTGTGGTTTATCTGCCTCAGCAGTCTGTGGTTGGATTACCTCAGAAACATCAAGGTTAGGCCAATTTCCAACAACTGGTATGGGCATCGCAGTAGCCATTCTTGGACCAGTGCTGCTTTCACCACTGGTGGTCAAGAGAGATTGACATATTTTTTGAACGTGAGCCTCTGCCTAACACACAAGCATGAACCCTGTTAACTCAGGTAACATCTAACCATGGTTATATTTCCACAGATGTAGGTTCAGTCACTCTTGGCTTCATTTATCCCCACAGACCTCACTGGCATCTGTGACCTACTAGGAGCAGATGCTCCATCAGCATAGCTCTGGTTCATCAGAATTACTGAGATCTCTCACCATAGCAAGGTGGTGACTGATAAGATTAGTTATTATTATATATTTAACATCAGACACATTCTCAAATTTTTCTTTTCAATTTCTGATTTTAAATTTGCTCTTAACACAGAAAGATGAGCTTAATAATCAGATGTGTAATATGTATTTTATTTAAATCTTGTTACATTTTAGAATAATTTATCAAAATATCAGTTTCATTTACATTGCAAATGCATGTGTTTAGATACAGTAAGTAAAATAGTTTTGTAAAGTTTGTCAATGTATTTCTCAAAACAATGAGGTCAGGCATACAAATATTTTGAAATAGATGCTATTTTATTGGAAATATAATCTTCTATTGCTGCTATGATATGTCAAAACCTTCATATCTTTTACAGTCTCTTAAAGCATTTATCACAGCATTCTTAATGGCATCATTATTTTCAAAATAAAAGGAATAAATCTGTTTTTCTTTCTTGAAAATAGTCAAAAATTGCATGATACCTAATGTAAATGAAAATGTGATAAATATTCTAATACAGTTATAAAATTTTATATTTTGCTGTCAAGTATGACTAATGGCTAGGTACACTACTGTGAAGAATCAAAGATTCTGGTTAATTTGTGTTGTGGAATTTTGGCAATTGTGTAATAATTTAATAATCTTGAAATTGATGTTAGCATTAAATTGTTGTCATCCCTAGAATGTATAGTGATTAATCAATCAGAAAAGATGTGTATGTTTTTTCTTTTACCAATTGATTTTCAGACTTTTTGTTTTGGAGATTTCTATTCAGACATTGTAATAAACATTTATATTGTTATATTAATTAATTTCTCTATAAAAAAATTAACATCATTATCACAGCCTTTAATTAAGATTCTTTTCCGTTGACTTTTTAAATCATTATTTCATTAAATGTGAAAGACATTTTAATTTATCAGAAACAATTGACTTTTAGTAGAAATACATTGATATCAAGAAAGTCAATGAAACTTGTTACTATTGTAAATACAACAACAACAAAGCAAACTGCTGAAGTTCATGGTTTTCATTTAATATCTTTTTGACCAAATATTTAATCACAAACTTGACTTAGATTATTTTCATCTGACAGAACAAACAGAAAGGAATTGTTTTTAAATTTACAAATTCAGAAAAAATAAATATAAATAAATAAAAGAAAAGAAAACATGTACAGTACTATATTTATAATAATAATATGTAAAAAAAAATTTGCATATATATAAAAATGTATATACTGTACAACATAGAATAAAGAAGCACAAAATATCTTTAAAAAAAGGAAAAGCTACACTAACTTTAATTTATTTTTTAATGTTAAGTAAAATTGACAAATTTAATTCTTATTGAAAAGTTGAGAAAAATCACATTTTCAATGCTAATCAAACCTATATTCTGTCTAATGTGTTAGTATAGTATTCATTTATTATTAATATATTCACTTCTTTGGAAATAAATTAATTGTTCTAGGAACCTGACTCAAAGGTTAGATTTATTTTCAGAAGGTTATTACAGAAGTATTATCCTATATTATAAAATTGGATTGTCTCATAATACTTCTGTTTTCTTGTCTAAGGTCCATTGCATTAATGATGTAAGGTTGGAATCTTTAGGCCTAGTAGAAACTGATTAAATATCTTTTTTTGATAACCAGAATTTTAGCAGTTCTTAGTTTTATTATTATTATTATACATTAATATGTTGCTGAAATTATAAAATACATATTTTATCAATTTGTGCAACATAATATTAATGTTCTGAAACATATTAATGTTGACTGCTACAAACAGGATTCTTTTTTAATTGTGAATTCAATAACTAAATATAACTATCTACCTTTATGAAAAAGCAAACAAGAATAGTGTTTATTTTTTCATAAGTAATACAATAATGGTGCTTATACATCTATATTTATCTAGAATTTCAATACTATAAATTAAATATAAAAGATATATAAAAAGATATATTCATTTTATCATTAAAATTATGTTTCATATATATACATATAAAATTTAGGAAATAGATGATTAAATTTAAATATATTAAATTTCAAATAAATCATTAACTTGATTTATCATTTTATATGGAAATGTAATAATTAATTTTTTTGTTGTTCTTGTACCGTATAAATTTTAAATTTAATTAAGTTCTTTTGAAATCTTTTTAATTTTATAAAGGGATTTAATTTTCATTAATTATTTAATTATTCATGCTTATTTTCAAATTTAAATTTATGCATAAAATTTAGTCTTTAGAAAATTGATAATTTGTGATTATACATTATTAGTTTCAAATTGAATGTTATCTAATAAGTGCACATTAACACTGAAATTTATGTTTATGAAATATTTTAATAATATTTTTTGCTAATAAATATTAAAAAGAATTTTAAAATTTATTTAAAATAAAAATTAAATTTTAGGTACTTTATATTTTTTATTTCTGTTTATAAGTTTTAAAATAAAATATTTAAAAATTAATAATTGCAGGAATTTATGATGATGATTTGGAAATCATAACATTGAATAAAAATGAATTTGGTGAGTTATATGTATATATTTTATTGATATTTTAAATTTAAATGTCATTTAAACAATATATTCAAGCTCTATTTTTTTTTCAGAACAATCTGTACATAATTCACCCGATATATGGTTTGTGAACTTTTATTCTCCACAATGTAGTCATTGTCATCAGCTTGCACCTGCTGTAAGTATAAAATTATTAATATCAAATGAACAACTGGATTCCTTTCTTGGGTTATTATTTAACCGTAATAGCCCATAAAAGAATCCAGTCATGTGTTTAATATTTGAAGTAATTATTGGCTTGGTTGTTTTTATTATATATAAAATTATTATTTCAAAGTACAGTACTTTTATGAATCTGTCTGTCCTATGATAAATACTAATATATTTTTAAAGCTAAATTAAAGTTGTTATAATGTTCTGAAGTGTTCTTTGTCTAATATTGTATTGAATACTTATATACACAATAGATTTGTGAAACAATTTTGCTTATATTGCTTATTATATTGTAATTTAAGAAAAATTTTTGTTTTCAGTCTTTTATACACTGATATGTACCAATATAAACATTGTACAAAATCAGATTCTTTACTATAAAACTATACCAACTGCTGTATAATATCTATAGTTTGGTGATAATAGTTTTGAATTACTGATTTAATTTGTGCCTCTAGGCACAAATTAATCAGTAATTCAAAACTCATATTAAATTTAATCAAATCTCATTAAATTTAATAATTATAATTATTTATGTCTCTCTCTAGGGACAAATTAATCTGTAGTTCAAAATTATCATCACTGAACTGTAGCTAGGGAATTCGATCCCGGTCCTTATTTCTAATCCCGGGATTTCGGGACTATACTTAGTCAATCCCAGGATCCCGGGATTATTTCGGTATTGAGGGCTAATAAAAAATAAGAAAATCTTACAGAAATCAACAAATCAAAATTTAGACAAAAATCAACATATTTTACAGTATACACCTAGCTAATTTAATCACTCTAACTAATCAGACTCAGAGTCAGACTAACCAGACTTAAAATCACTCAGTCTTCATGTTAAATTTATTCTTTTTTAAGCATCACTGAGATCTCTTTAAACTCACATAAATTGAAAAAACCTTTATGTAACAAACTATGCAAATAAACGTTGAAAATTAACAAAAATCTCTCTTAACATCGACTAAATAGACTACTTTCATATAGCAACCTAGTAAGTAGGTAGTAAGATAAGTTTCTTAGCAAAAAGTATTTAAAAATAATATTAATCAGTCACATTTTTCTTAAATATAAAGAAAACTAATCTAATAGGAACATTCTAATTTGAATTGCGAAAATATGATCTGAGAAATAACAACGCATCCTGTGTCTCATCACCAAGTCTGCTTCTCAATTTGTTGCACATATATGCAGCTGCTGAGAAAACGCGTTTAGGTTTGATGGAAGTTGGAGGAATCGTTAGTAAATACTTATAAGCCCGTTCTAGTTATAGCTTCGAGGACACGGGGAGGTTGGAAGAAAACAGTCCGGTCGACACAGATCGGGATTGTAGGAGTAAAGGCTACAATCCCGATTGTTTCGATCATTGTAAGCATGCCTTTCTAAAAATAAACACGTTAATTTTGTAAATTCGGTCTCTGTGTGAGTCTCTCAGCATCCAGCAAACCACTACTCCCAAACGTAAAAAGACTTTCTCGCATCATCCTGACAGATCACGGGCAAGGCGGGGGTCGTAACCTTTTCACCTAAGGTCGACCCCCCTAAGCGAGAGGCGTCGGGTCTATATTAACCACACTGGCAAAACAAGATGGCTGACACATTGACAGGTAAAACGCACTGAGTAGTGCTCTCGACTGCGCCAGAAAATCAATTGGCGCCCGCGAAAATTCAAAAATACAAAAATGAAGTATATTACCAAGTAACCCAGTGAGAACTGCTTGCCTATCATTTTAGTTCAAAATACAAGAAGTTTTATTCCAAGCAAGCATCAAAAGCCCACTAGGTTAATTTCTGCTGCTTGCTTGGAATAAAATTTCTCATATATTATATATTAAAATGATAGGCAAGCAATTCTGTAAAAGCACTGGCACTGAACGTTTCGCTTCATGCAGTCTATTTTGCAACTTTTTTAAAATGATGTCAATCCCGAAAATCTCGGGATTAGGAAAATTCAATCCCGAAAATTTTGGGACTGAAAAGTAGTCGGGATCCCGATTTTCGAGATCCCGGGATCAAATCCTCTAACTGTAGCTCAATCTTATACAGCAGCTGGTGTAGCTTTACTGATATGTACAATTTTAAAAATAAATAGTTTTTATTTTTTTAAATATATAATTTTAAAGTAGGAGTTTTGTTATAGTGTATTTTTTAAATGGATTAATATTAATTAATTAATATAAAATTGTCATAATATATATAAAATAACTTCTTAAACTTTGTCAAAATCTACAATGATTTTCTATACAGAAAAGTTTATTCAATAATTTGTTATATTTTAGATATGTCTTAATTTTTAAATTTACTGCTTAATTTTGAAAGTATACATTATATATAAAAATATGTTGTTTAATTTTAAATCATTATGTTATGTAATTATTTTTATAATGTAAATTACATGAATACTATGTTTTAACAGTGGCGTGCCCTTGCTCGAGATCTGGAAGGAGTAATTAGAATTGGTGCGGTAAATTGTGAAGAAGATTGGGTGTTATGTCGAAATGAAAATATTTGGTCTTATCCTTCTCTAATATTGTATCCAGAAGTATGTTTGTTAATATGCTGTGTGGATATAAAATTATATATTGCATTTTTAGAATTCAGTTGAATAAAAAACAATATTATATTTTTATTCAGAAAATAAAGTATCAAGGCTCAAGAGAAACTGAACATATGATTGAATATGTACTAAAACAATTGCCAAATAAAATAATTAAACTGGCAGCTTCAAATATTGAAACAGTTATTAAAAAAAATACTTTACCATGGTTAATTTCTTTTTGTTTAGAAAAGAAAGGTATTTTCATTTATATATACATATTTATTTATTTTAATTTTAAACGATTAAAAGTAAAATACTAAATGAAATTACTACAATATTAAAACAATTAGTTTAAAAATTTTTCAGCTTGTTTGTTTAGTGAAGATCTTAAAAAATTTAGTATTATGATGGTAAGGCTAATAAATTTAATTTTTTATTTATTAAGATAGTATTTATAATCTTAATTTGGATATTCTTATCTTGTTTAAGGATGGATTAGTTAATGTTGCTGAAATCGATTGTTATGATCAAAAGTCATTATGTGAGAAACTAGATATGAAATCTGGAATTGCTTTCTTTCCTGGTTTGTCTTCTAATGATTATAAATATCAGATTGTGTCTGGAGATGATAACAAAGATTTAGCTCATGAAGTTTTGCAATTGTTACCTGATCCATTGGAAATTTCAAGAGAGAAATACCAGGTAGTTAATATTTATTAATTAGAACTTCAGTTTCATAAAATAAATTTAATAAATGTTTTTGTAAATTCCATTTTATTTTATTGTAAGGAAGTCATATTTTATGAGGATGATAATAAGATTCTTGAATAAAATTTGTTTTAAATTCTTACATAATGCTAATAATAATGAAATAATAAAATATTTTTAATTTCAAATTTATTAGGAAATTTTAAAGGGTCTAAGGGAGGAAACTGAAAGCCCATGGTTAATATATTTTAAAAAAGAAAATAATGCTGATGATAAAAGTATTAGTCGTGAAATGAAACGCCTTACAGCCTTATTACCTGATGTGAAAATGGGACAATTAGATTGTTCTGTAAATTCTGAAACATGCAAAGAATTATATGTCCAGAAGTTTCCAACTTTTATTGTTTTTAAAATAGGTGGCTCATATGAAATACATCATGGTGAGTTTTAACATATTCATTAATTAAAATCTAATAGAAATGTATTGTATGTTAAACATTGTTGTTATTAAACTTTATAAATTGTAGTTGAACCTTATATTTTAATTAATCTTGGCAAACTAATTACTCTATTTGTTTTTATAACAAATAAACTAATTAATATATACTATGCAAGCATTCAGAATAAATATTATTATAAGATGCCTGTTAATTAGCCAAATATATTTTTAAACAATTTTATACATATGAATGTTTTAGAAGCATTGTTTTTATTGTTTCAGGAGTTGGATTTAGAATATGATGGCAACAAATATAGCAAATGTAATTTTTACAATGCTATAGATTTTAACTTTTTAAATACATTCAAACAACACAAATAACTCAATGAATCAATAACTATTTCAAATTACATTTGTGCTATAACTTTTAGTTATATTATTTACCATTATCATTATCCATGTTATAGCCCAATGTAATTCAGAAAATTGATTTAACTTTTAACTTACATAAAAACTACTTTTTCACAGTTAGAAAGTTATTCCTTATTATGTACTTAATGACACAGCTGATAATGTAAACATAAACTGTTTGATTTATAAACTCAAAGAAGTAGCATATTATACTACTGCTTTTTATAGATAGTTACTGATTTATGAATTTTTGAGTTTGAGTTCTTTTAATCAAAAATATAACAGATGCAATAAATGAGAAGCAAACATTCTTAAACTTCAGTCAATAAAATAAATTTAATATTCATAAACATTCTTAAGCATTGTTTCAAATTCCAGGAATAGTGATGCAGTCTGCTATATGTACAGTACAGTACAGTACTGTACATGTATTTGTTTAGGCAGAATAACAGTGACATGACTTTAATGATGGCAACACTGCAGATGAGAACAACACGTATTCAGTTATCAGTCTGCTGCTGATAAATTTAAATCTGATGATTTTTTTTGCCTTCACTGTCACATTGGATAAATTTAAAATATGTATTTAAATATTCTTTTTACATGTCAAAAAGATTCCCAATTATATTATTAGAATATATTTATTACCTATATTGTATATATTATATACTAATGGTAGAAATTAATGGATAATAATAGAAAAAAAATTAGGATTTATAAAATGTCATTTTAAAAATGAAATAATACATAATGTTTTTTGTTGCTCCTATGTAAGATAAACACATTGACTACTAAATAAGAGTTAAGCTTTAGCTGGAATCAATTACTGGTCATTACCTATGAGTTGTCTCAAAATACATCTTACCTTTAGTAAGAGAAACAAGCGTATTCTTAGCAAATAGATATAAATAATTGGATTCCAGTTATTTGATGAAAAAGGACAAATGCATTATGTATACAGTAAACCTTTGCTAACTTGTACTATTAAGGTTGTCTGAGTTTATGAAAGTCCAAGTTAGTAAGGTGTTTTCTTCAATGACATAGAAGAGGATGGATGTACAGACAGTAACTTATTACATTCTGTATGTCATCTCATTAAAAACTATAAATAAGTTTACTGAGCTTTAGTATGTTATACTGCTGAATTTATTATTACAGGAAATGAACTCAAAAAATTTCTTGACTGTACAATATACAGCAATGTACAGTCTTTAGTAACTAGCAAACTATAGTAATATAATTCACTGTATTACAAAGACTTCCTGATATCACAAACACTCTTTTAATTATAATTATATTTAGAGTATTTGTGAACAAAATTATAATTACTCATTTAATTATAATTTTTCTATTGTCAAGAAATTTTAAATTACTATACAAGTTGATGGGATCTAAGTTAGCAGAGTTTACTATTAATTATTTCTAGCATATGTAATGCAGTTCTTTTGCAAGGGTTGTCCATAAATTATGTCTGCATTTTTCTTGAAATTTTTACTTTTCTCTCTTGTCCCAATTTGTTCAAGTTTCCATAACTCCCTCCCCTGTTTGGATGGCCAACAAAACTCAACCCTCCTTAAAATATTTATCACTTTATGAATGATAGATATCAAAAGTAGAAATGAAACACAAGAAATTTTGAAATAAATATAATAAAATGCATTAACTGTATAAAATGAAATTTAATAATTTAATGAAATGAAATGGATGTCAACTGAATTTAAAACCCTCACCCCCTTTTTATCTGGCTTGTCATAATCCTCTCCATCCCTTCCAGTGTGGACATCATTTATGGACAGTCCCAATCTTATGATTTTCTTCATCATTTGAATAATAATAAAGTGTTTGATCTGATCAATGTACACCAGACGTTCATTTTTATAATTTCTAATTAGACTTGCTTTTATCCGAGTTTATTGAGTTATTTCATAGTTATTATGTACAAAAGTTTTGTTTTGTTTGCCAACTAAGAGATAACTCATGTAGCATTTTTGATAAAAATAAACTTTTGCTATACCAATTCATAATTGTTTTGTTGTAAGAAAATTGATGTAATTATATTATTATATTAAAGTACTTACTTCGTTTCTTCTTACAATTAATATAAAATGAAAATTTTACATAAAATATACTATTTTAAAAATACAATTATATTATTTTCTATTAAGTCATGCTAAATTAATTTTTCAGTACTTATTATTCAGTAATTACTTTTAAATGCTAAACAATAGTTTGCATTAAAAATACAATTATATTTTAAAAATACAATTATATTATTTTCTATTAAGTCATGCTAAATTAATTTTTCAGTACTTATTATTCAGTAATTATTTTTAAATGCTAGACAATAGTTTGCATTTATTATTATTATTTAAGTTTTTTTAATATTTTATTGCATTTAAATTGTTATATTCTATTTTAATCTATTATTTGCAGGTCGTGCAAATTCTCATGATATTGCAGGCTTTGCCAGAGAATCATTGATTAGTCAAGTTGAAACACTAGGACCAGATGTTTTTCCTACAAAAATAATAGTTAAAAATCAGCCATGGTTAATTGATTTTTTTGCACCTGTAAGTTCAGCAATGTTATTTTATAATTAAGTACATATTTAGAATAATAACAAAAGATACTTCTTAGTGGTGTCCTCCATGTATGCACCTCTTACCTGAAGTTCGTAAGGCTTCACGAATCATGGGACATAAAATTCGTTTTGGAACAGTAGATTGTACTATCCACTCTGAACTGTGTTCAAAGGTGATTTTTTTTTTCTTTTTTTTAAATTTCAAATATATTATTTGAATATTTTTGTATGTGAATGACTGTTCTTTTATTTAATATTCTAATGAAATTTTTCATTCTAATTTTTGTTCAATCAAATATTTTAATTAATTTTATTAAAATAAATGTATTAATTTCAATTTTGCAGTATAACATTAGGAATTATCCAACTACAATACTATATAATGATACCTATCCACATATATATTATGGAAATCATGTGCATAGGGAATTAATTGAATTTATACAGGTATATTTTAGAACATTAAAAGAATAAATGAAAATTAATGCCATTTTAAAAATGTCATCAGTACAATAGAACTTTTATTTTATTATAGGATATCTTATCTCCACCAGTCATTGATTTAACACCACTCTTATTTTCTAATTTGGTGGAAAAGAAAAGTACTCATGAAATTTGGGTTATAGATTATTTTGCTCCTTGGTGTAGACCATGCCAACAATTAAGCATTCAGTGGAGAAAACTAGCTAAAATGATGTTGAATGATACAGAGGTTCACATTGCATCAGTGAATTGTCAAACATATAAAAATCTTTGCCAAAGTCAAGGAGTAAGTTCATATCCTGACATAAGATTGTATCCAAGAGGATCACAAGGAATTAATACTGTTAGGTAAGAATAAAAAAAATTAATAAAATTTTCATTTGTAATTATTTTATTTTTAACAAACTTGCAAAAATAAAATAATTGTAAATATGTATATGTTTATATTACAAAGGCATTTATAATATGGTTTTGCATATATGTACTTAAAAAATTTCTAACACTTTCTGATATATAAAATGGGAGAAATTTTAAGAGAATTTTGAAAATTAAACTGAAATAGTTAAATATTTATATTATCAGTAATTTTGTTCAATTAAAAAATATATTCAAATAGACCACATTTCATTTAAGTGCAAAAATAAGAAAATGCTTCATTAGACAAATTATATACAAAGAAATAACTAGGATCAATAAACTGTCTTTAAATTAATATATGAAATTCAGAAAATTCTTTCTAATTTTAGTCATTTTTTCAATAATAACTCAGTCACCATTTTTGAATAATTTTACTATAGAATGTTAAAATACAGTGGTACTTCATACTTCAAATAACTCTTTGAATGAGTTCAAACACAAAATTTGACAAAACTTCACTTTAGAGTTTGAATGATGTTTTGAAGTTCAAACATTTAAAGCATAAATGCAGTCTGTTGTGTGTCCAAGTCATCTCTCACTCTTGTGTTATGCTTGTATGTTTTCAGTGCTTTTTTTTCACTTTTTGTTAACAGCTTTTGGGTGATCATACATTTTATATCCTTTAGTTCAACATTTTCTGAATGAAACTTTTTAAATCACATTTGAGATGTTCAAAGTTTAGGAGCATCTTCCTTATACAGATTACAAGTTTTTTTTTACTGTTTGCATAATTTATTATTTGTCCATAATTATAAATGTCCTAATTTATTATTAGGACATTTATAATTGTTATTTTTACCTTAAACTATGTGTATTTGATGTTTAAGTATATTGAAATGGGTATTATTCAGGATCTGGGAATGTACTAATTCATTTCCCACTATTTCTAATGGAAAAAATGATTCAGAGTTTGAACGACCTCCTAGAATGAATTAAATTTGAAGTATGGTAAGTACTGTATTCACTTATTCCAGATGGGTAATAATTGTTACATCAATCTATTCACATCTTGCTTTTATGTTTATTTTTAAATTAGTGTGTAAATAAAAGAATTTAATTGATTATAAATTGTTACTAAATTTAAAAGCTGTTTTATTATAGCCTGTCAATAATTTTGATTTTTGCAAGTATTATATTAAAAGAAATAGAACAACAGGTTACACTTTTAAAACTTAAACCTTAATTATTACATTTTAAAATAAAGTTTTAAAAGTGTAACCTGTTGTTATATATATATTTAAATTAATATAATACTTGCAAAAAATGCAAAAATCAATGGTAAATAAACTACTGTGGAATTTTTAGTTCCTGATTATTTCTTCTGTTTTTATTTTCATATGTTTAGACTTTCTGTAGAAGATATATTTTCTGTTGTGTATATTTCAAATGGCATTTGTTATTAATATTTTTAAAAATTCCAAAGTTTTTATGGTATTCCTCAAAGAATTGTGGCATCTTGATAAAAATTGTTGATTTAGATTTTGTCTGTTACAATTATATATTGCTATAATTTTTCCTCTTTTGTCTTCTGGTCATTGCCATTATTTTTCAAATTTAAGTTATTTGTTTTTTATATAAGTTAATAATAACATATAAATCAAATAAAATATTATTTAAATTAATTAGATACAATGCATATTTCTGGATTAAAAAACTAAACATCAAATTGAATAAATTTTTTCATTCAAGTATTTTATTACTTCAGTCATAAAGTATCTAATTCAACATATAATATTAAAATATAATATTACTAGCAGGTGGGCCCGGCGTTGCTCGGGCAAAAGTAACGATAGCGAAGATTAAGATTATTACGTTATAGTCAACCTTACCTGTTTTCACAGAATGCAAAAATTTGATCTCCGTTTCCAGACTAATTAGAGAATTTTTACATGGGTCTAAAAATATCTTCAATTTCCTGCAAAAACGAAAACCAACTGCACTTTCTCTTAAAACGTCGCTTTCTCTTAACAATTCCATTGTTACGTAACACTTCCATTGTTGACACTTCCATTGTTAACACTTTCATTGTTACTTAACACTTCTATTGTTGATGGAAGTGTTAAACTTAATCCTGTCCCTCTCCCGCCAGGGGGGCATTTCAAAAAATCCCTTCTTAGTGTGCGTTTTTGTGACGTACCCTAACTGTGTATCAAATTTCAGCTTCCAATTCCTAACCGTTTGGGCTCTGCGTTTATTATTATTATCAACTCGTCTCGATTATATATATAGATTATATTTTAATTTTATATTTTTCCTTTAATAAAAAAAACTTTGGTTTTAAAATTTATTTACTAAACTTTTTCTTTATAATTAATGTATAATTTGGTACATTTTCATTTTTTAACATTTAAAACATTCAGCACTATATTGATGTAAAAGATGCATTTTGAGCAAGTGTGTCTCTTCAGTCATAGCCTAGTGTTAGTTTCTTTAAATTTGTATATATATAAATGAAAATCACATATTAATACATCAATTTTAACTTTATAATTTGTGATTTTTATTTATGTATATCAAATTTAAAAAAGACTAACATTAGACTATAACTGAAAAGGAATATTTGTTCAAAATGCATCTTTTACATCAATAGAGTGCTGAATGTTTTAAATGTGAAGAAATGAAAATGTACACAAAGTCTGCATTAATTGTAAAAGAAATTTTTGTTTTTAAAATTTATTTATTAACAGTAATAAAAATGCTTTGTTAAAATATAAATTTTAATGAACTGATTTTTGTGCAGTTTTCAAATAAAACAGTAACTTAAAAAAAAGCATTTTATATTTCATTTAATTTCTTATTTTCATTTTGCAATCAAAAAGCATATGATTTGTTGATTTTTCAAAACTATACAGTTTTATACTTTGTCATTAAGAAATAGTAGACTTTAATATTGATTACAATGTCTAATTATTTGTAGTTTTTCATAAAAAATATTTATCATTATTTTAAGTTAATAAAATTAAATTCCATAGTAAATTATTCAATATTACTTTATTGAATTAGTTAAGAAAATATTTTACATAATAAATTCATAAAAGTATATGTAAAAATGTTTTTATTTATTATTTCCTGATAAACTTAATGTCTTCCATAAAGAAACATTTTTTTTTATCAGGTAGCTATTTTTAAATTTGATAATGCTAAGTTTTGAAAAATTGTAACTGGGAATTGCTGACTGTCTAGTCTGCATATATTTGTAAATTTTCCTTGTTACACATTTGGATGCAGATTTCCTATAAAAACAATGTGATTAAATTGCATATCTTAATTAGATCATTTCTTTTTGATTTGTTAATATTAATGAATGGCCTAAAACTTATTATCATGTATTCTGGCAAAATATGACAAGCAATATATTCACTTAGAATTGCAATAAATTTCAGAAAATGATTTTAGTAAATTCTACTGCAAGAAAATAGTGTACATTTATGTTATTTTTAGTGCTAATTAAAAAGTTATACTAAATAGCTATATAATTTCTACTTTGTTTTTTATATGTATATATGCTTTTGATCAGAATTTTGAAGTTATATAATTTTTTCAGTTCATATAATAATTGGAACAGAGATGCAGTATCATTACGTGCTTGGATTTATTCATTTTTGCCCAGTAGTGTTGAATCGGTTACATCTCAAAAGGCTTTTAAAGATATACTTTTAGATCGCAAACCTTGGGTAATTGATTTCTATGCACCTTGGTGTGGACATTGTCAAACATTTGCACCTGAATTTGAAGTGGTTTCAAAGGTAAAATATTGTAATTTTGGTATTAAATTATTTTGCATTTAAAAGATTAGTTATATATAATGTTGTTCTGATATCTTTTTAGAAATTATCTGGTAAAGTAAATGCTGGAAAAGTTAACTGTGATGCTCTTCCAAATGTGTGTCAAGAAGCTGGTGTCAGTGCTTATCCTACAGTTAGGTTTTATTCAGGAAGTACTGGAGGAAGACATCAGGTAAATGTTTTAATAATTTTAGTGAATACTTCAAATGAGCACATGTACAGTACATACAGTACACACACTTTTTGATCATAGATAACTTAATGAGTTACCTATACAGTTACCTATACAGTGGTGGACAAAACTTTAGGTAAAATTTTTGCTGTTCTTTAAACAACTAACTTAATTAAAATTATTGGTTCAATCATGTACATATGCTTTAAAAAAGTAAATTAATAGGTTTATTCAATAATGAAAGAATAGTGTTGAAATAGTTCTTCCAAAAAGTAGAAAACCAGGTAATTTATATTGACAAAACTTTAAATACAACTGAAAAAACAACTGCAAATTTTTATATAAATGTAAATAATTAAGAATGTGTACATATATAAAGAGATCTGTATATATTTGTGTGCAAAAACAATTATCTGTCAAACGCGTGAAAAGGTGTAAAACTGGCAGAGAAAGAACAAGGACAAATTAATATTTTATGGCCGCAGTTATAAAACTATTGTGATGTAATTACCTAAATAGAAATGAATTGCACTGTTGTACAGAACTTTATTGAAAAAGATGATAAATACAACTCAAAAAACAATGGTGAAAGACCTAAGTTTAACGCAAAAGATAAGAAGCAAATTTTGAGGGTTGACTTCAGCATCAAGAATTGTGAATCAATTAGAGATAAAAGTTCATCTCTGTACTGTTCATAGAATGATAAAATCATCAGGATGATTTAAAAGAAAGAAATTGAAAAGAAAACCTCTTCTAACTAAAGAATGTAAAACTGCAAGATTGACTTATGCGTGAGATCATATGTGTTGTGATACAGAATGGCAATTGAACTTTTTCATCTGAAAAAAAGTCTGAACTACTATTTTCATGATTTACATAAAGAAGAGAGGATTTTATCTTGATGTCAGATGGGTCATGGTTCTATTATGGATGTGGGGTGTCATTTCTTGCAAGGGAAAGTCATCTATTGAATTCATAAATGGATGAATTGATTCAAAAAAGTATCAGAAGCTGATTGAAATTACTTTATTTCCAAATGTAAGAAACTTATTAAGCAGAAACTTTTATTTTATGCAAGACAATGCATCTGTCCATTCATCTTTTACCACAGAAAATTGACTTCAGCAAAAACAAATCTAACTGTTGGATCATCCTCCTCAATCTCCAGATTTAAACCTGATTGAGAATATCTGGGGTGTGCTCTCAAGAATTGTATATGCTGATGGCAAAAAATACAGTTCAGTAAAAGACTTAAAAAGTTACAGTGGAGAAAGCATTGTATGCTATCCAACTTCATTACTCAAAACATTTATTATGAGTATGCCAGACTGCAGTTTTGAGTTATTCAAAAAGTGGAAGGTCCACAGATTTTAATCTATTATTTACAGTTATTTTTTCAGTTGTATTTAAAGTTTTGTCAACATAAAGTACTTGGTTTTCTACTTTTTGGAAGAACTATTCCAACACTATTTTTTCATTATTATATAAGTCTATTAATTTACTTTTTAAAGCATATGAACATGATTGAACCAATAATTATAATTAAGTTAGTTGTGTGGGTGAAATTTTTGCTTGTCTTTAAAGTTTTGTCCACCACTGTATTTATTCATACACTTAATTTTAAAATGTATTGAGAATGAAATTCTCAATACATTTTAAAATTTAATTTATATGTTAAGTTAAATGAATTATTGTCATTAATTACTATCAGTAATTTGATTTTTATCAGAAATCCAGAAGATATTTATTATAATATTTATAATTAATTAATATTGAATTTCAAAAAATTGAATAACAACAAGAAAATTTTTTTATTAAATTTCAAGAATTAATCAGCTATAAATAAAATTTAAAATTTGCTTTAAAATTCCAAAAATAAATGCTTGATACTTCAAAAACTGGATAAATTTGACAATATATACTATATTTCAAGAGATTTCAGTTCATTAAATTGTTAGATGATTATAACTTTAATAAATAATAACATATATATGCAATATATGCTTTACACTAGCATTATATTTAAAATAAATTCAGAACCACTAAAATCCTAATGATTTACTATCAGTTAAAATAACTTTTGTTCATTATATTTGTCAATAAGACAATAGTAAAATCTAATTACAAAAAAATAAATTTTTAGGTTTTAGCATTTTAAATATCAAAAGATAATTAGTTTTTATTTTGATAAATTTTGAACTATTAACAAACTTTTATTTTTTCTTTTTCTTTTAGATAACTTTATTTAGAATTCATTATGCTTACATAATTTTGCAGTTATATAAAAAATTTTTGCATTTTCTATTTAAGTAACGATATGTTTATAAATGATCTTATAAGTGTTTATCTCACTAATGCTAACAAATTAAAAAGCTTTTTTATATTTTACAAATTCTGCTGGGTAATTTTGAAACTACCAAATCGATAATTGAATAGGTTAATAAGATAGAAAATAGAGAAACAAAATTCAAAAAGTTACAGGTCTGGTTTGGATTCAAATTTATCTTTATGGAAATAGCAGAATTTCTGACCATAAAAACATTTGTTCTCGTTGGATCAAATCTTTCTAAATTTTTTTAAATGCAGATTATGAAATCATTCTAAAATGCCTTACAAAAAAGTAAAAATAGCTAAACCTTGAACAAAATCTTTTAATATGCAGCCATTTTATTATCTATTCAAACGCTTTCAGTCATTTTTAATGACCTTCAAGAACAAAAATCAAATGCTTCTGATTTGTATACAATAAAACTTCTTTTGGAACACTTTTAAATTTGAACTCTAGTGCGCAATCTCGTAAATATAAAATTACAATATATACAAGCTAATAACACATATAAACACACAAATAAAGTAGATACAAACATAATAAATGAAAGAATAAATAAATACATAAATAAAGTAACATAACTGCAAACATAAAAAGGCCACAATTGCACCTATTTCTTTAAATCGTCTCTTTTGCCTACTAATATATTTATATTATGTCCACTCTCCATGCTGCTGAGATTTTACTTGATTCTCTAAAGTTGATCGCTTGTCCTGCCTGGCTGGTCTTGTGTATTTGCCATGCCTCTGCATATTTGAGGTGTCTCTTGTCTTGAATCTTTTGTATTACTTTTGTTTGTTCCATTCCGCTGTAACCTCTGTTGGGTCTGCTATAATATTCGCGTTTTTCATGAACTATAGAGGGCGCTGCATTTTTACAAAATGGCTACTTTATCTGGGTCGCTTGTAATTAGTAACGTAAAATTAATCATATATTACTGTCCGATATAATGATATATGCTGCCTGTAGCTATTTATCGAGAAATTTTATAGAAGGAGAACAATTATTGTTAGCGGGACACGTCATTATGTGGTATTGAAACAAATGAGTGAGATCGTTCTATACATATTTGTGCCCGTTGTGTTAAAAAACATCAAGTTTGACATTGTCCCATCAGGGCAGGATTTACAAGTAAAAAGCCTCAACTTTCGAGGGACCTCAAACATTTTTGTACAAAAAAGAAAATTGAAGTCAGATTTTGTAATAAGCATTTTTTTACAAACTAACAAAATATACTTCACTGTTTATTTTGTATAGTATTTCATTAATTTTTTTCTAAGAATTAACATAAAATCTTTTTTAAAAAAATTGATAAAACCAATTTAAAAAGAAAAGAAAAGATTTTTAATGGAATGGGTATAAAAATTTAATTAAACTTAGTTATAAAACAGAAGACTAGTAAACCTCACATCTTTTTCTTTCAATATCCGTATTAAATCAGAGTCATAGTCTGATTTAATTCTTTTCTTTTTATGGTTGACTTCTAAAATTGTGAAGGGTTGGTAAGGGGCCTTACAGAGTTCGGCTTAGGGCTTCGAAATGATTAAATCCGGCCCTGTGTCCTACACAAAATTACTGGCATTTTAAACTTTAACAAAATGTTTTAAAATTGACAGCGTAACTTGTTCATGAAAGCTGGACAATTGGGAAACTGCCAATTCTTAACAGTCTAATCCACTCTTTCAGAATTCAGTGCTCATAAATATAACCGATCAATTTCCGAATAATCATCTGTTTTTCCCGTTTTTCATGTGGGAATAGACAAAAACTTATATCAGGCTCTTGTAAGGCTTTGAAATTGCAATTTGGAACCAACAGTAAGCATTGCTTTTTCTATCACTTTTCATCTTTACTGCTGATAATACACAAGAATGAATCAAACGACCCAGATAGAATAGTTTTGTTTTTAAACACCAGAGGACGAGCATCTGGTGAAAAATGCGAATATGTCACTAGTGCGGTGACTGGGTGCTCATTCTGTACGTTTCTTTTATGTTCTTTTAATCTTTCTTTTAACGACCTCCCTGTGGCTCCAATGTAGTAAAGCTCCTTTTCCCACCTTTTGTCTTGTATGGGAATTCTATATACTCCGGGAATAAGGCTCTGGTCTATGTCCTTCTTGTCCACATGTAACATCTGTATAATGTTGGATTCCTTTTAAAAATTAGCTTTTTGTTTGTAAATATTGCTTAGGGGAGCTATGTATTCAATCACTGTATAATCTTTTATTTTTCCCCATTCATTAACTTTGCTACTGTCCATTTTTCTTTTGTTGGTTATTGCATTCAGGTTGACTCCAAATTGTCAACCTGAATCAGTTCGGATTGTATATTTAACAATAAGTATATTTAAGCTGTCTTTTCACAGTATAACCTCAAAAAATGATTGATGATGATAACTGATAATAATTACTTGTTATCAGTCTTTGTTATTTATTTTATTTATTGCACTTATTTATTTATTTATTTATTCATGTATTATATGTATGTATAGTTTGTATATGGTACACAAACTATACAAGTAACTTGTATATATTGTATAAGTAACTCATATATATTGTAATTTTTTATTTACGGGTCTGCACACTAGACATCTAAGAAAATTCAAATGTTTAAAAAGTTCCAAAACAAATTTGTTATAGAAATCAGAATTATTTGATTTTTTGTTCCTGAAGAAGGCCATTCAAATAGCTGAAAACATTTGAAAAGTGAATTAAAAAAAGGCTGCATTTTTAAAGGTTTTTATCGAGTTTTGGTTAATATCAGTCTTAACCAGTGCTTTAAAATGTTAAATATTAATCATTAATCATTATTTGCTTTCAATATATTAGTTTAAATTGAGGCATTTTTTTATTCAGTTATATGTTATCTGTTGTTAAAGATCATAGTAGGAAAATAAGACTGGGTAAATTACATAAATTAATTACTAGAATTAATAAAATCTTTAAATTATACAATTTGTAGTTGTTTTTAACATTTTGTTTTGTAATGTAAGAATCAATAAAAACAGAATATTTACTAATTACAATTTTATATGCATAACTGAATGCTGTCAGTCTGTTTATTGCTGTCAATTTAGTGAAGTTCACAAATTCTAAAGTGATTACATTAACATGTTTGCTGCCAGTTTATCCAGTTTTGCAATGTATCCTTCACATGTCACAGAATTGTCAACTGACAGTGAATGTGTTAAGTTGATTCTACTATATTTGATATTATCAGCATATAAGCCACTATTTTTTTTATTTTTTTTTAAACCTTACAAAATTCCCTTTTTCTAGAAAGTAAAATATAAAATAATGTACTTTGTAAGAAAAATTTTGCATATAAAATCAACAGCAAATTTTTTATATAATTGAAATTTTGATTAAATGCTGAATTGAATGATACATTACATTATATTATATATTCAAATAGTCTATAACATCTTAGTTAATTTAATCCATAACAGAATTTGGTAAATTAAAAGATAGAATGTTGAATTAGTACTTAATCATTTCTAAAAAATTTTGGTTTATTATAGTATTACATATATTAACTTGTATATGGTTCATGATTACATACATAGCATTAGATTCTATATACATATACATGGGGGACCCCAAAAAAACCGAAATTTTTGTATAAAAACTTTATTTATTAACTTTTTTACAAAATTCCTTCAGTCACCTTCAAAGTACTCTCCATTAGATGTGATGCACTTGTCAAGTCTTTTTCCCTACTGTTTGAAGCATCTCTGGAACTCTTCAACCTTGATATCATCCAGTGCCCTTAGCAAAGCTGTTTTTACCACCTCTACATCATCAAAACGCTTCCCTTTTAGATTTTTCTTCATTCTCGGAAACAGAAAAAGTCGCACGAGGCTAGGTCTGGTGAATATGGAGGGTGGGGAACGACAGGCCATCCCTGAGAGGCCAAATAGTGGGTTACTCATAAGGCCGTGTGTGCGAGGGCATTGTTGTGATGAAGGAACCAGTCACCTGATCGCCAAAGTTCTGGACGTTTCCTTCGCACATCCTCTCGCAGACATCTTAACACTTTTTTGGCAGATTTTTTTAAACATTTTCAATGTTTTGAGATGTTGAAGGACGCCCAGAACTTCACAGGCGGAACAAAATAACAATAAGAGAAACACAATACTACGCTTAAACGTAAACCTATAAACTGACGCCGTTTGCACAGCTGTTTCTTGAAGGTCTCTACTAACCCCATGTAACGGGAGAACTCTCTACTATGACTATGAATGGCAGTGCGCTCTCAGTTCGGGTTTTTTTGGGTCCCCCCTCATATATATGCTTCCTCAGCTTGTATATACTTGTGTTTTTGGACAGAGAAAGACTTAATTATAAGAGAGATAAAAGTATTTTCAATAAATTTTTAAAATATTTTTGCTAAAATTTTCTTAAATTGTGAATAGTTATAAGGATAAACAGACTTTATTTACAGTCTATGATCATTTCTCTTTTCTGTAAAAATGTTCATTTATCTTATAATACTTCAAACTTGTAATCAACATTATTAGAATTTTAATTTTAGCACTTCAAATCATTAATAGTTTAATTAGTCAGGATATTAATTTGTTGGGATTTTGAGTTTTGTTGCATCTTTAAACTGACTTGTTTCTAAATATTAGGATTTCAAACAGTTGAGATTTTACATATCAGGAAATCAATGGTGAAATTAACACTTAATTGTTACATTCATGACTAATTCACAGATAATTCCATTCATTTTTATTCATGTTATTATTTTTGTTGTGTATTCTCTTTTCATTTCTTTTTTTCTGTACATTGTTCAACTATTTTTTTTAAATGTACATCATGCATATTTTAAGTGTAAGAAAATATATAAGATAAATAATCACATTAAATATAATATTTTAAGTTGGTTCTAGCCCTAACTATGGCTAGGGCTAAGCTGAGATTCCTTATGATGTGCAAGAATGAAAACATGTTCCCTATAATCACATTAAATGTTTGAGTTATGAACAAACATTAGAATAGTATTTTTTTTAACAATAAGTAAATCAATATATACATAAAATAAAATATGATAGTTTTACTTTTTAAATTGTTTTATATGAAATTTATTTTTTGTTCTAGACCAGTGATTCTCAACTAGTATGCCATAAAGCCATTTTAAGTATACTGTTAGATGAATTAAAAATTAAAACAACAAATTTAAACTTTGTGAAAACAAATAAGAAAAAATATTGAAATATAGCTGATAGTTCCACAAACCTACTTCACAATCATATAATTCTGTAGATTATCAAGTATGTTTCAATATAGTTGATAATGAATAAAAGTACAATTTTGTAATATTTGGCTGCTGCAAACAAATAATGAGGTATTGGAAGTAAAAATCATGCATGATTTTAATACAGATTTGGAGAATTTTCATCAATTATTTCTTTGATTAGACATTAAAATTGATTTTCCATTTAATTGTCATCTTGTTTTAAACTTAATTTTCTAATTTCTAAATGATTCTAGTCAATTAAAACATTAATAAAACCAAAACAGTTAAACAATCTCTCTCACAGAAAAATTTGAAAGCGTTTGGTCATTTTTATACAGTAAATTTGAAATAGGCTTGTTGTGCTAGCATTGAATGTATTATGGCTTTAAAAGAATATATAATTACAACTATCTTACTTTAATTATAAACTATTTATATTAAATTATTCAGACATTAATGCTTAGAATGGAAAATTCTTCAAAATGGTATGTATTGTTTACCATTGCAATATAATCAGTCTGTTGAAAACTATGAACTGGGTTTTATATGAAAGAAATTTGATATTACTTTAAAACTTTGATCTCAATCAATCTCCACTAAACTATTAAAATTTAATAGTTACCAAATTCAAGACATTTTGTTCTATTATATAAATTTTAGTCATTATAGTTGAATAGGATATTATCATATGCAAAATTAAAAATATGTAATGAAATATTGAAAAAAGACAGGAAATTTTCCTTCAAAACTAACTGCAGGTTATGTTCAAAATAACATAAACAAGGTTTCAATACTTTGAAGATTACTTTTAGTAGAAGTCAATCAACTAGCCAGTCAAAAATAGCCTATTGAAGAATATTTTAATATTTAATAATAAAAACTGTCATAATTTTTCAAGTGTGCCACAAGTCCAAAAAGTATTTGAAAATCATTATTCTAGACATTTACTTGATTTCAAATTATAAAAAACAAAATATCAAAAGACATTGTTTTCCGGATATATTTATGAAATATACAATTTTGTATCATTGTATTTTCTTATGGAATGCAAAAATTTATTTAATGCTCATTTAAGACACTTTTTTTAAATTTATGGACAAATTTCATTGAATGGTAAGTATTCAGTAATTGATGTTGCTAATATTGAATAATAATATACTTATACAGCAACATCAGTTACTAAAGAAATTATTAACTTCATTAATCTAAACCAATTTTGTTTGTTTTTTGTTAAATATTTCATCAAAAAATAAAAAGAAATTATAGATTATTTTTAGAAACAATAAATTTATGAAATTATACTAGTCATTTTAACATGAATGTATTCATATATATCAAATAAATATTAAAAAATTTTAATGTATGTATTTATTTGTACTTTTTGACTTTTTGTTTACATATATGAGTCAAAAAAGGATATGTAAACTCCTTTAATTCAAACAATCCTGTACAATAATGCAATAATTTTTGAGGTTAGTGAGAATGACTATGTCTAAATAAACAAATATATATGTATAATATGAAAAAATAATATAGTTAATCAGATATAATTACATATAATTTTTTTTTACCTGAGAATGAATAACACCTGTCAAAACATTAAATTTATAACTGTTATTAATATAGTGATTGTGTATCTTTTTGTTTCAACTTGTATTATTTTACTGTTGGTGTGTTCAATCATTTTGATTTTCTCACACTATTTTTTAGAATGCTGTTCTTTATCTATAGATTTTTTTTTAATTATAATGGATACCTTTATGCTAAGCTCCATAAACAATGTGAAGTAATTATCTTTACAGCTCTTATGATGATAATAAATAATATGGCTATACATTTGCATAACACTTGATTAAACTTGTTCTCATATATTTCATTCATTTATCATAACTTCATTATGCAAATATTTTAAGCTTATTTCCTATAATTTATTTTTTATTGTTAGGAAATAAATTAATTCTTTGAAATTTAAATAATTTGATTTAGTGAGTTGATTTATTAATTTGAAATTAAAAATAAACTTTAATTTTTAAAATATTTTTTATAGAATTCTTTTGGCCAAGAAATTGATAGTCAACGCTCAGAAACTATAATTGATTTTATAAGTAACAGAATTAAAAAAGTGAGTTTAGAAACCTTTTAATATGTTTTTTTTTTAAAAATTGAATAATTATACCTCAGAGGTGGAACAACAACGTTTCAAGTTGTAGTTTGAAATTCTAATATAGGCCTCCTTCCTTTCCAAATCCACCTCTGCCACAGAGGATGAGACTTGCATCCACTCAAAAAGCCTTTAGTGTTGACCAAAAGAAAAATCACCAACCCGTGTTCAAAACAATTGTTTTGATCATGGGTCTAATAATTCTTCTTTTAATTCATAGGCTTTGGGTATCATAGGCTTTTACTTGGCATGTTTGGGTCCCTGTTTGCTCCAGGCTCTGGTTGAGTCAAACCACTTTGCACCATTGTAGTTCCACCACTGATGATTATATAATAGTACCAATATATAATAGTAATGTGATACTTTGTATGTAACATACTAAGAAATACCTAATATTTTAAAAAGATCTGATCCAACCTTTATTGTACTTGTGTTTGATGTTATAATTTTCAATGAAAATTCGTCAATATTTATGTAGATGAAGATTTAGTTTATTAAATTAATTTTTAGAAAACTGTTTTAATGGTAATAAATGTTAAGCATTTTTTTTTTACACCTTTTTATTTAATATGAAATTATTTACCATCATTTATCAAGTCTAAAACAATGATGAAATATTTCAATAATAATAAATGTAATTTCAATTTCATAATGAATAAAAGTACAATTTTGTAATATTTGGCTGCTGCAAACAAATAATGAGGTATTGGAAGTAAAAATCATGCATGATTTTAATACAGATTTGGAGAATTTTCATCAATTATTTCTTTGATTAGACATTAAAATTGATTTTCCATTTAATTGTCATCTTGTTTTAAACTTAATTTTCTAATTTCTAAATGATTCTAGTCAATTAAAACATTAATAAAACCAAAACAGTTAAACAATCTCTCTCACAGAAAAATTTGAAAGCGTTTGGTCATTTTTATACAGTAAATTTGAAATAGGCTTGTTGTGCTAGCATTGAATGTATTATGGCTTTAAAAGAATATATAATTACAACTATCTTACTTTAATTATAAACTATTTATATTAAATTATTCAGACATTAATGCTTAGAATGGAAAATTCTTCAAAATGGTATGTATTGTTTACCATTGCAATATAATCAGTCTGTTGAAAACTATGAACTGGGTTTTATATGAAAGAAATTTGATATTACTTTAAAACTTTGNAACATACAATTTTAAATTTATTAATCAATCATTTTCATTTTCTGCTGATATTACAGATACAAAAAGATGAGTTGTGATGATTATGCAGATTAAAACAGAACTTTCTAACATCTTTACAATGTTAATAATTACAACATTTGAAGAGGGTAAAACTATTTTAGATATAACATAATACTTATAATCTGTAAATTATTCTGAATTCTCACTTTTTATTTCATTTGCATTATATTTATAAACTCTTGGCATACTGATTCCATGTATACTGTATATATTATTCCTGTTCTTCTCTAGTCAGTGTATTTGTTTTTCTTAAATTATTGTAAATATGAATGGGATAATACTTGATTGGACCAAAAATTTTGAAATTTGAATATTATTATACAGTATATAATGGAAGAATGTTTAATTCTTGTAAATTGTTTTATTTATTATACATTGTAAATTACATCAAGTTTAAAATAACAAAAATTGGATGTCTTCCTTGACATATTTTTTGAATGTTATACTTATGATGATAATGTTAAAATCATTGTGCGAACAAATTTTTCTTTTATAAATTTTGCCATTTTCGGGCTCAGAATATTGTCAAGAACAAATTATTTTCTTAGGATATTCTAATAAAAACTTTTTGATTTTAAAACTGGTTTTTTTATTGAATTTTTAAAGTTTAAAAGTTTAAAAAGATATTTCAATAATTACATAAAACTTTTATATTTTAATGACTTTGATTAAAAAAAAACAACAACATTACAATATATTTGTTACATTTATTTTTATTTACAATATAATTTGAACAATTTGCCTGACTATATGAGAAACATACTTCTCCACATATATTTGTAAAAACATAGTATATGTATATAATGTATACATATATATTTATATAAGAATGATATTTAATAAAATACAGCAAATAATAGTCAAATTAATAAATCAGATATATTTCTTTAATGACTAAATTTGGACAATTTGAAAACTCTCCAAATTTTTAATTGGTTGTTTCCAAGTTTTATGCTTTGGTAAACTTGTTATTTACATAAACTCTTTTAGACTAGTTTGTATTTTGAGAATCATTGTTTAAGTTGCATCTTGAAATGACTAGGATGCAGATTCTGTGATCCATTAGTGGATTAGTCTGATATTAAATATGTACATCAGAGTTTCTCTCTCTCTCTCTGATATAAATATCTTATATATAAAAATGTTTATCATATTCTTTAAATGTTAACTGAATCTTTGGAGTATGACTGTTGTTGATACCAATGCTACTCTTGTTCCATTGATAACTTAGCTGGTCAGACATCTCAATACTTTGCATCCAAGAAAGCTGTAATAAATAATTTCTTTAATTTAAATGTCATTTAAAAGAGAGAATTAGAAGAGCTTTAACATACCTTTAATTGAAAAATAGAAAGAGTTAGATCATATATACAGTTTAAAACAAAGAGAAGTATTGGATCCCATCCACCACTGAAAGAAGTTAATAGTAGGATAAGATTGTTAGTATCATGCAAAAGACCCAGTTAATTCAATTATTCAATTTCACTCACTCGTCTCTGATAGCTGTCTGAATTTCTTCGTAGGTGAAATGCGTAATGAAGGGGATTAGCCCAATCTTGCTGAATCAGCAAGGGATAATCATGTGGGTGTAATTTTCTTTCATCTGTAAATGATTTATTTTGTTACATCATTCATTTAATTCATGTCTGTACATAAAGTATTATACTTACATCTCCTACTAGTGCTGACTTCGTATAGAGAGAATTTTGTTGGTTGTTCTCGAGAGTTGTAACAATGAAGAAGTAATTGAATTAATTCTTCCACTGTTGTCCTCTCAGAAACAAGCAAACTCTTATATAATGACTTTAAAATAAAATGTAATTGTCAATTATTAAGTAGAAATTAATTTAACTAGTTAAAAAAAAGTACTTACAGCTGTCATTAAACAACTTGCATAAACTTTGACTAAACCACCTCTTCTCATTTGAAGAGAGAATCTTAAGAAACATTTTATGTCTTTTTAATAAATTTAAATGTTACTTGTGTTGTAATAATTGTAATTGATACTCACTTTGATTCTCCACGAGGATGACAAGCTTGTAATTCGGCCGGGCGAGCCTCATCATCCAAAACCATTACTGACTTAATTGGTACTCCTGCATTAAGAGAGTTAATGGAAAGACTTTTAACACACATTAATGTCAAAATAATTATGTAATGAATCAAAATTATATTTTATATAAATTACTAAAAAAAGTGTCATTACAGACAATTTACACTACTATATAAAACAAATGTATTATTGAAGTAGATCAGCTATTGAAATAGCTAGAACCAGTTTAATTGTTCAAAAAGAAAACTTGTTTTTAAGGATTAATATTAAAATAATTTAATTTCCTGGTAGTTTCATCATCATTTATAAATAAAGTAAATTAAAATATTCACTGTTTATCACAGTTGCATTAAAAGAAAAGAATATTTCTTAAAGATTCCTTTATAATAAGAGTTTAGTATCAATTTTATTAATAAATTTTTACATATATAACTTGTATTATATTATGAAGAGGACATGAAATATTTAAAGTGTTCTAATTTGCTTTAATTTCCTGTGAAGATAATCAGTATATAAATAATGTTTCAGCATTCTAATGAAAAAAAAAACTTAATTAAATTTATTGTTGTTCCTTTTTTGCTATTTTTAATTGTTTCACATATATTTTTAATTTAAAAATATTTATGATTAATTGATAAATCTGCATTCTCGAATATCTTTCTTGTTAAAAAAAGAATTGATAAATTTTTTCAACAACCTATTTCAAACAATAATGTCTAATTATTGTTTTAAAATATAGTGCCCTAAATATAATTTTAATCTGGTATTAATTATTATACAGTCAAAATACACAAATTCATTAATAAATTTTAAAAGAATTTTGACCTCAACTTTTATTGAATAAACTGTATGGATTACAACTGTTTAAAGACAACTAAATCCTAACAAACATACTTTCGCTGCATTGTTTGGATACAAAAATAGTATAATGTGATCGTTAAGTGTTTGGAAATCATTCATTAAGCTTTGTGTGTACACATTCACAGTACCAAGGAGTGAATGATTTGTCATGGTTGACCAAAGAACTTCCTTATCAGAAGTCTGTATATCAACCACCATTTCCTCATTAAGGTACAGGAAGAGAGAGAGAGTATAATCTTTCCTATAAACACTTAAGAAAGTACAATATTGGATACAGGGCATTTATCTGTGTCTTTCTAGTACTTTTATATTGTTTTCAATGAGGTCATTGATCCATTGACAAAGTGTCTACACAAGGTATAAAAACTTTCCTCAAAATAATAATGTCCAATAAATAAAAATGCTATTATATTTTCTTTTATTAAATGCTTTTACAAATAATTCATGAATCATTTGAAATATATATTTATTTACTTATTCTTACAGTACATACATAAATAATGTATTATAAAAATTCCAATTTTAAATTAATATCATAATCAATCTAAATGAAAAATCTGGTTTTTCAGAAATAATATGAAAATAAATTCATTATTCTAAATTTAATTTTAAAAAATATGAATTTATTAGTCATTTTTAATTAATTTTATTTATTTTTTTGATATTTAGGTTTTTATTAAAAACAGTATTTGATGTTTTATTTCATATTTTTATGAAACTTTTGATTGTAAATTTTCTTTATAATTGTTAAAAAATTTTGTTTTTCTTTAGTACTATTCATTTCTACAGACTGTTGCCATTTTCTTCTGTTTGTTTGAGTATGCATATGAACCCCTTTTAATATTAATTGAAAGTATCATTTTAATCTCAAAAATTTTTATTTAATTTGAAAATTTTGTAATTTAAACACAAATTATTTTTATTTTAAAATTTAAATACAGTAGCTACATTGCACAAAAAATATTTTTGTTTTTTATATTATTTACAGCAATTTTGATTAACAATATTAAATAAACATATAATTCATACTACATTTGAAATCAAGACATAAGTTGTTTTTATTATACAGCTGTAGTTGTATACTTAATAATTAAAATTCAAAAATGTAGTTATTCTTGACCTTAGTTTTTGCACATCGTTTATTATATATAATAAACTTTTAAATATTTAATCTTGCCTTTCAGTTGGAATTTATTCAAGTTTTTGAAGGACTATTTGCAAAGATCAAAGATTCTTAAGTAAATAGTTATTGCAGCATTGCAAATATTTTACTTACAGATCCTGTGACCTGAAATAATTTTTGCATCTTTGTTTGTTTTTCGAAAATTAATATTTTCTTTTTTGTGTTTTTTTTTTATAAATTTAGAATATATCAAGGAAATCTGTACAAATTATTAATTTTCATATGTAGTTTTTCCAGATTAGGAGTGGGGATGTTGACACCTTCATCCTATACCATCACTGCCATGCATTTAAACACACATTTAAAATATCCATCTCCCAATTGATATTAATGATTAAATTCTACATCTGGTTGTTTATAGGGTTTAGGGGTGGGGTGGGCCATCTAACGCATCATTAAATAGCATTGTTGTAGGACTTATAAGGCTAAAACTTTGAGGACTTGCATATTTTAATTAGAAGTGGATAAAATTTGAGTTATAAGATTTGAGGACATGATATTAAGTTAAATACAAGTTTGATAAAAAGCTACAATACTAGTTTGATACAAAGCAAGTTAAATAAAAGCTTTTAAAAATTGTTTTTTTAATTGTATAAATGGTTTTGTTAGACTAAATTATTAATCTTTTTAAGCAATCAATGGCCAATGGGTAAAACAAATAACCTAAATATGAAGGTATTTTCTCTTTTGGCAATTTAAATCTTAGATATGAGATATAATAATTATGACACAATTAAGTTTCTTTTTAATAATAATAAATTATAAATATTAAATCTATTTCTGGATTATTATTACATTATTTGCCTGTTACCTGTACACCTGGAAGGATATTGCTAGGAAGCTAGTAATTGTGATAGTGTTTAATAGTAATTTGAAATTGTGTCTTTTTAATTAATATTCTAGATTATTAAATTCAACAAATGTTTTAAAATAAAGATTACAATTAAAGAAATATTTGAGAAAAATGTAGCATAAATTCATTAATGTTTAGATAAGCAGTTTTCTAAATTGAAAAATATACATATTTAACTTCAGATAATCAAAAAAAGACATGAAATTATTTTGTTAGGACTCTATACAAAAGCAATCCAGAGAAAATCGTTAATTCAAACATTTTTTCCCATAATATTTAGCAAATTTTTTATATTTCACTTTATTATTATTGTAAAGTGAGTATTGCAACTTAAGACAATATATAAATAAATCTTCCGAAGCTTCAATACAGTACACTTGATATATTAAAACTGTTTTTGAAATATAAAAATAAATCATTTTACCCTTTTGTGAAATTTTTATATGGATTTGTATAAATATATTCACATATATGCATTTATATTCACATTATTAAGTCCCTGAACTTGCTTTTTATAAGAATTTGCTAAATATTTAGTGCCCTTAAAATAAAATTTTGGTTTTTACGAATCAAAGATCTGTAAAAAGAGAAGCAAATGGGCCTGAGGAAAGCAGTTTTTCAATTTTTATTTAGATTAGCGATTTCTGATATGATAAAACTGATAAAAAAAATAAAGCGACTCAGATTATCTTTTAATGAGATTATAATGCCGTTGATCGATACTAGAACAAGTAATAATCGGATTGCTCCAGTTTAAATTCTGCCCATTTTTTTTTTCTAATAAATTATAATTGAAATGTTATCAATTCTATTTTTAGCTTCGGAATTAATGATAATTGTTAATGTCAGTAAAGATGGAACGGCGTTCATTTCAAGGTTTCCTCTTTCAAATTAACTATTAAGTATGATTAACGTAAATGAGAATATCTATATTGTGAAGTGTTAATAGAGTGTAACTGAATTGTACTAGATAATTGTACAATTTGTATAACTCGTCATTTAATTTTGATAATGTCTTAACATGAAATAAAATTTACTTTTTGAATTAGTACTTAGTTTTTTAAATATAATTGTATTAATTATTCGTGTATTTTGTAAACTATTTAATGTATTACAGTGGAACCTTCAGTAAAGATCCTCCAATCACGTCAGTGGCCGTAGTTCAGAGGTTTGAATGTAATTCACTACGCATTCAATAGTATTTTAGTACTCCGAGTTAAATTTATTACAAATATATAAATAAAATTTGAGTAAAATCTTACCCGTTTTCCTTATCCAAACTTCCATAGTTAAGTAGAATAAGTTTGGATCGCGGTGTTTCATTTTAAATTTACTCAATAGCATTCTCACAACGTCGATACTCGTGGTCAGTGGATTGATTGATAACGTTTTGTATTCCATATCCGTACATAATACTCGAGAATAAACCTTTACCACCGTCTATAAAAAGCAAAAACTTTATTAATAAAGTATTCCAAGTAACACGATCGCTGCAATTACGCGAGTTATCTTTCATATATATCATCTTACACGGTTGCTGCTTAATGTTCATTCACAGACAAAATAATAAATACGCCGATATCAACCATACTTAATGGCTATTTATTATTCTTTATCACACAGTTTTATATGTAATATAAAATCTGTAGCCATATTTTAACATTGCTTTTAAATTTATTTGAAATTTGGCAATACAAAAGCTAGTTGAAGTCGGATTTAAATAAAAGCTAATGCTTTTATTTTATTACTATAAAAGCTAATGCTTAGGGCCTCATCTTACAATGGGCTTCGTTACAAGGATATGGTCCATCATTTAATAAGAAAAGTAAAAAGTTTCATGAAAAGGTTAAAAATCTATAGAAAAAAAAATACACATTGCATATGAAATAAGACGTTATCTCGAGAATAAATCCATCCTCGACCCTCGAACTGATCTCATTTTAATTAGAGATAAGTTATATATAGCGAATAAACCTTCGTTTTTTTAAAAAGTACGTGCTGTTTTACAAAGACATTGACAATTTCCGGTCTAAATTCCGGCGAAAGTAACTTTGTTTCCGGAATAAGATACTTGCTAGCGTACATTATGTGTATACTGTAATTTACGCTTATACTTGGCTCGAGATTCTACCTCATTTTTAAATTTTATACCTTTCATAACAGGTATATTTTTACTCTACTAACTTATTTCTTTTGGATATATTTGTTTTTATTTTGACAAGAGAAGAACTTGTTATGATAAATCGGGTTGAATGATAATATGCAAATCGGGTTTTCTTATCTCTGATTTTAATTAAAAATAATTGAAGCTAGTTTTTGCGTCGTATACAAAAATTTGTCAATTAAAACCAAGATAATTTAATCTACAGACGTATGATATTTACTATCATTTTACCATCTTATAAATAATATATTTATACTTAAATCCGGAGAAAAGAGGAAGTATATAGAACTATCCTCCTGTGAAAACGGAAGGATGAATTCACAGGCCATAAATGGCACTCCTGCAGAGATTTTTCATTTCGATAACTTCTTCCGAATGTTTAATTCATTTCCGTTAGCGATAGGAAGTGGACGAGATGATAATTTGCACCCCTCTAAAGCGACTTGAACCTCGAATTGAGACGTGTTGAGGTCATTTGGGTTGTTTTAATTTTATTTTCGTTTAAGTAACCGTAAAAAATAAACCGGATTTGACGTAAGTTGTGATAGGACAAGATGCATTTGTGTCAGGATGTATCATGCAAGGACGGGGTTGGGAAACACAATACTTTTTGGTCACATGATCCATTTAGCTTCACTGGGGGCGTTATTGTAAGCTTAGCTTCTACATCCGTTAGACACATTCAGAATCTTTGTAGTTCATCGATTCGGTTGCCATGTTTTGCTACCACGTGTTTGGATTAACAAACGCCTCCAACCGAGATACATAAAGCAATATTAAAATAGAATCACAGAGGAGAGGATATACATATTTTTTTCTTTTAATTTTAAAATAAATTACGTTACAAAATATAAAAATTCAGATTTATTTATGCATTTAAATTGTGATAGTAACAATGACGAAAATCGATGAATTAAAAGGGAAATTTCAAGCTGAAGAAACATCAAGTGCTTTTAAAGAAAAATAAGAAATGAAATTGCACAAATTACATGGAACTATAGACAATGGCCCTATTCAAAGATCATCATATGAAATGTACTAAAAATATAAGTTGCAATAAGAATATTGAACATAAAATTAATTTATTTTATATTCAGACAGATAAATTACCAAAACCCCAAATAATAAATAAATAAATAGACGACGAGTCGATCCTTCACATCAAAGAAGTTCAGTTTTAAAATCGAATGAGACAAAAATAAAATATAAACACTATTATAAGCTTAGAAAAACTTGTGCCATATCAAAGTGAAGTGCATCGTTTGACAAATTGACGGAAACGTAGGAATAACTATAATCATGCAGAAGTTTTTTATTAATTAAATTCTTCCCGGTAACGAGTGCACTTAACTTTGCTGTAATTGGTGCTTTTGTCATTTGAAATCTCAACAATGCGATTGGATAACGTTATCTATAACGAGACACCACCATAATAGCATGTAACCAGTCGAGATTCCGTGTGTCACGATATACATCTGCCAGAAGACGGATGAAAGATGTAAAGCAATTAACATAGTAGTTTTTTATAACGGGAATCCTGGCTTATACTAATTCGTAGACCACAATACATCGACCTTCGTCGAAAGCCCTGTCCTTGCCAGTGTCGGGTGTCTATTCACAAACATTCCACCTTTACCTGGTCAACCGAGCGGAACACACTTGAGAAGGTCATTTCTATCGTCTAACACATCAAACTTTTGTTCTGTTGTCTGTTAGAGAACGTCTATCAAAAAAAATGCCTTGTGAGGTAATGATTTATAACTTCTTCTACCCGAAAGGTAGAAATAAAAGTATAATTTTGAGCATTAAGTAATATGGATTATGCCAAGGATGCAAAATTAATTAAAAATTTTCGCAGAAGAATATAAATAATTGAGCATTGTTTGAGTAAATTATGGTTATATCTCATTTTAATCTTCTTCAATTTGTCGTTTTTATGCACCACGATTATAAAATGCATTTGATTATAACTGTTTTATGAGTTAAATAACTGAAGTACGACCTTGTCTAGTGGCTCTCGAGAGTGCAAGCTCTTTAATTAGTTTGAATTATAGGAAGATGGCCTTATATAAAAAACTACTATCACTTAAACCTTTAATTATCGTCCATAAAACTCGAACTTGGAATCTGGTTTTGAGGAAAGTATATGGGAATTGTTAACTTAATCGTTTCTTGCAAAAAAAAGGAATAAAAATGAACAATTGTCGTAGATAAAAAAAAATGCATCTTTGTATGCAAAACAATTTCACTACGCAACAGCTTTGAGTTACGATTCTAACAAAGATGTTATGACACAAAGAATTGTGTCAGGGACTCGTGATTTTAAATTGTTTGTTCTTTATTTTCCATAGAAAGGAAAAAGTTAGCCGACTTTATATTGCATCAACGTATTGTCAAACGTTCTTTGATGATAAATAATTATCGGTTGTTTGCATGAAGGAAAAAAATTTTACAATGACTTGCACCGAACAATACAGAGAATGCGACCCTTAAATTGCAGTAATATATTTATTTTATGCATATAATTTTTAAAAGTTCTCATTATTTTCTTATTGTTTTTATTAATTTTAATTTATCTAATTACCTATTTATGTAGCCTGTGGTAAGGCTCATTAAATATAGTAGACTCGTCTTATTATAGATAATAGAGGACTTAGTTATCTTCTTCCGGGACTGCAGGATAAAAGTTAAACTATACGATTTAATCGTAACTTTACAAAGTTCCGATATAGGCAGTTGATGCTGAATATATCCTATAAAACACGCCATTTATAGTCTTATTTCTTACGATAAAGTGTATATCCTTACGCTATACAACTCTACTCGGGCTTATTTCACAAATAATTTTTATAAGTCTCTTATACTTCAGTGGAAACCGATGAAACACGGGTTAAAAATAGACATTTCCAGGTCTATACACTCCAAAAGGTGGTAATGATTACAAATGTCGATACGGGACAAAGTACAGTGAATGGCCTTGACCTTGTCCTTTACGTAAAACTAACACGAACTGAACCCCGCGGGGGTAACTTTAGGAATAAAGTCACATGACGTAAGCTCTCGAGTTTAGTAAATGGCTTTAAAAATATATCCCAGCGCGACCAAGCGATCAGGGATTGGCACTTTATGTTATTTACCCACGTTATCTTAATTATCATACATGGAGTTCTTTGTCCAGGTTTCCTGCCAACGAAGCGACTTCCTGCCTCCAGGCAACATTTTCATGGTTTAGTTAGATTCCTGGAGTTTGGTGATGTAGAACTCTCTAGGGAAATGACCAATGGGGTTAATCCAAATGAAGAAATTACCGTACAGAATATACTCGTATATAAAAAAAATGTTTTCGGGGGAAATAGTATATTGACTCTCTCCAATTCCTCAATAGATTGAACAGGATCTTTCACTATAAACGACTTAATCTTCCTTTAATTAAAAAAAAAAAAAAAACGAAACCAGAAAGATGGATGCTGTATAACTTTCGCATATCGTGTTTTAAATCCTATAATTCCAAATTCAAATATAGAACATTGAACCTGTTCAACATGGAGAAAGTAATTGAACATACCTACAAAAAATTAAATTAATTTAATCTATGTATCAATAAAAGCTTGATGTTTACGTTTTTTAATTGTATTTGAGGGGGGTTATTTCTGGGAGATTTCTAATCGTCTCACGCCTACGCGGCGTTACTTTTTGTAAATTAAAATAAATAAATATTATTCTATAATTGTTAATAATTTTACTTAATTGAAATCGCAAGATATTGAAAACGCGTGTGTGTAATAGTTTATAACAATCTTTTCCCGTTGCGAATTACGTTAATTGACTAAAATTTAATAACGGTTGCGTAACTGCAAAAATCCAATTTGAATTATTAAAAGAAGAATTTTTATAAAATCGTAACTGGCTTGTTTCCAATCAAAAACAAGGCCAAACACCTGTATAATTACAAGTTCACCTGTGGCTTTGTTATTGGCAAAGTGCCATTGCTCTGAATTATTTAAACGCGTCAAACCCAAAAGGAATGCATCTTATGTCCTCCCCACTGACTTATTTTGTAACTAAGAATAGGGCGATTTTCATTATACTTTATCCGGTTCTTTTTAAAATTTCTCGGTCAACAAAAACTAATTATTTTATAAAGCTGGGAATACATTCAATATATAACCACGTTTACGATTCTTGACAGATTTATAATTTAATAAATGCTAGAGGTAACTGAGCATTCCCGTACTATATTATGTAATTAATTACAGTAAAGGGAGTGATAGTTCTA